CTGTATGTTTGTGTGTGTGTGTGTGTGTGTGTGTGTGTGTGTGTGTGTGTGTGTGTGTGTGTTTCCGCTTGGTCCTTTTGTAAGATTGTGATGGATTATGGATATGGATGGGTTCGGTCTACCCTATAGTGAGAAAGTCATGAATCCCTTCTACATCTGGCAGCGCTTGTTTCTTTTGCACGTGTTTTTCGCTACATTACCTCATTGACAGCTGGCAGCTGGTGTTTTTCATCACATGATTTCCTTAACAGCTGTAAGGAGGGGATTGCAAAATGAGATTCCGAACGTCTCACCTTGCATTACTAGCTGCCACAATCACTGAGACAAATCCAAAACAGAACATTTACATAGAATATTTTATGAGATTCTGAGGTATCCGAATTCTTGTTTTGAACTGTCTTACTTTGTATTATCTCCCGGGACGGAAGTATTGTTTTGTGTGGGTTTGTGTGTGGGTTTGTGTCTATGCTTGTCTGAGATGAGTAGGTTGACAGCACATGGGGGATTGACAGGCAGAATGACAGGTGGTCAAATGGTACGACATAGGAACTGGGGTAAACATGAAGGTCTCAGAACCTGACCGTAAGCCACCAGGTATTTTGGGTTGGCATGGGGGGAATTCAGGCAGCCGAGGATTGAATGAGCGACTTAGCTGCTGCATACGAACCTGACGTTGCTGGGGTCGTCTCCACGGGGTCTACTCCCCCGGCGGGTGTCGCATCGGGGTCCGGAGTCGGACGCGGCGGGAGGGTGGGCAGCTCAACGCCGAGCAGCCGGTTGATCTCCCTCATTAGCGGGTACGGGCCGGAGCCGCAGCTGGAGCCCTTGAAGTCATCCAGATCCAGCGACCACACCATGAAGCCGCCAAGCCCCTTCTCCTTCAGGAAGGCGACCTACAGTCAGGTAAAACAGAAAATCAAGGATCCCGCGTAGTTAGTAACATTTGCCTTTGAAAACATTTCATTTTCTTTCTTTGTTTCGGTGGCATGTTGATTTAATTGTCAAATGTGAGACATGAATGGAATTTTCAATGAAATAACTGCGTTCGTCTTGTCTTGTTGCGGTCAACCTTACGTGTCTAAGAATTCTTGTTTCAGCTATTATTGCACTACACAATCATTGCACTACATTCATATAGGACGCTAGTCCCATCCTCAATCACAACAGTGTACTACATGCACTTTGGGTCATGAGATTCCTTGCATAATATGTGTTCAGTGTTAACTTGTATTACACAATTTCAAAATCATTGTACCACTCGCATTAGTACCGAAGGCCACTTTTAAGTCACAGTTATAATTTTCAACCTCTCTTTCCCCTCATCCCTGCAACAAGCCCTCACCTTGTACAGGATACTCTCTGGATCGTCGTACCCCACCCACTGGTCGCTCCAGGTGGCGTAGGGCCCCAGGTGTTCATAGTCGAACACACGTGTAGCACCTGCCGAGAGCTTCTCACAGATCTGTGGGAAAATAACACGGACGGAGAAAATCAAAATAACGATGGATGATTCTTCATTGTCAGAACAACAAGTACAGGGACATTTGTATGGTCTTCTACAACTAAAGATCTAGCAAAGTACATGTGTGGATAACGTCATCCTACGTACAGAATATATGTAACAACTAGAGGAGTAACATTTGCAAAGCAAAAATAAATGCATAATGTTTACCTTCGGACATGGTCTAGATCTGCTCTGTTAATTCTTACTCAAACACATCCATGTACTACTAGCACTAGTATATGGTGACAGGAGCAGAGCAGACCATGAAATTGCAACATTATGTAACCCAACACCAGTCACCATGGTGACAGACGTCACCAAATCATGTCATTGGTCAGGTCAGAGGTTAGTGTTTGGAACAGAAGAAGAGGAAGAAACTGAGTAAAAACAATATGTTTTCCTTCGGTAAACATAATGAAGGTTTAATAATTCTCCAACATGTGGTCTCTAAGCTAAGATCGAAACACTCTTTATGATGAATGAAATAGAGTGCGTTCTCTATTACCGGAGTGACAGAACACTCCTGTAGCGGAACACTCTCGAAATCTCGGATGCGACACACTGTAATGTCCATGTACATTAACCGCACTTCCTTATCCTGTGTAATATATACCGGTTGCAATTGTGTACTTTCCATAGGTGAGAACTGACTATACAAGAAGCTAATCTTTTCCTCTGGAAAAAAAGGAGAGAAGAAAACATCGCGCACTGGAACATGACCGATCCTAACTGCCCCTCAAAATCTAAAGTTCAACCAATAAGAGAATGGCAATTAACAATTCAACCATTGAGAGAGCGGTAACACGTCTGTCGTATATCTGCATTTCTGTATTTAGGCGTAGGTGGGCGGGGCTATGGGATCGGTGGTGGTTCTCATTGCATATGTAATCCAGAATCGCGATTGTTAGACTACAATCCACAACAAAACAGTCATGTTGAGACCACTAACTATTAGTAGTTAACCAAGTCTACATAGTTATCACCAACAGTACCTCGTAGTAGGACAGGAAGCCGCCCTCCCGTGTGTAGGTACCGGCAGTGGCAGCTCCCCGTACGGGCGCCCGGAGTCCGTTGTCCGCAGGGTTGGCCAGCTGGAAGGACCGGCCGTACAGAGCTATCCCCAGGATCAGTTTGGAGGCCGGCGCTCCTCCGGCGAGCCACATGTTGATAGCGGATTCCTAGTAGGTAGGTAATAGGTTTTAATAAACTAAGATACTGCTTACCGTATTCTTTTTGGCTAAGCTTAAGATCATGGAGGCAACTTATTTATTTATCTTTATTTTTATATTCTAATCACAAGACGTGGTGACGGCACACTCAAGTTTTTCAACTCATATATTAATGCCGCCATCAACATGACACTGGGGACAATTCAATACTCATTTTCACCGGAGCGAAGTGAGCGAAGTCGTGTAAAGTGCCTTTCCCAGGGGCACAAGATCGGTGGCATGTCAGGACTCGAACCCGTGACCTCTTGATTCCGAGTCGAGCTCTCTGCCGCTTCGCCACACGACACCATGAGCAACTTATTGTATGATATAGGTTTGCATGTTTGCTTTCTCAGATATTATAATACCAGATCTTTTACTACATTGAAATTGATCGCCAGAAACATCGCACATTTAAAATGAATGCACATGTTTACGCCAGTTGCAATTTTTTTACGCTTTGTTTAATACGTCTGCGTAAACTATGTTGCATCAAGAGCACTTATATGTATCTATATAATTTAAAAAAAAGACCATTTTTGTTGTTAATAAACAATAGAGACTGTACATTGGGTGTATGTAGGACTGATTACCTGGTTCAGCAGGGCCTGGTCACCACTCTCAGACGCGGATGGATACAGAGGGCTGTTCAATCCAGTGAACTCCTCCCAGGCCCCGTGTAGGTCGTACGACATCACGTTGATAAAGTCGTAGTACCTGGGGTGAATAGTGTATAAGTGTGTAATCAGGATAATATGAAAGAAGCAGCTCCAAGCTAATATGTCATTCTATGAGCTAAAATCACAATCCACAATCCACAGTATCGACATACACTTCGCAGAGTATGGTCTATAAGTGCAGTCAGTCTTTCAATACATTACAATACAATACAATAAATACAACATAATACAATACTAGTACAATACAATACAAAACAATACAAAACAATACAATACAATACAATACGATATAATACAATAAAATACAATACAATACAATAAGATATAAGACAATACAATACAATACAATACGATTAAATACAATGGAATACAATATGATATAAGACAATACAATACAATGTACAACACATATTAATGTCACTGTATTTGACGTACACAGTTCGTGCAAAGTACTAGCAGACATACTTATGAGAGTTAAACTCAAGGTTGTTACAGGTACACAGTCAGCCTTCGTAGCTTCCAAAAATCCATAACAAATTCATCGTAAAAAAAACTCACTGGGAGATGGCGGCAATTTCGTACGCGGTCTCGATCGTGGATGCCCCAGCAGCCACTGCGGTGGTCAGCAGCAGGGCCTCCCGCCCGGTCTCCGCAGCTTCACGGTCAAACGCCTCCTTCAACTCCTGAAAAACAAAAGCAGATCAGTACTTAAGCTAAGGAGGTCTTTTAGACTTTTTTAGCTTTTTTTTTCACTTTCTGCACCCCGGCCAAACGCTCCTTTTGTTATCAGTGATTGGACAAGTTCTTGGGAAAATTCGTTGAAGGAAAGTTTAAAACATGAATTGTCGTTTTCAAATTTTCCTTTACGTGTACCCGTCACCTTACCCCAATATTCTACTCCTGTATGATACAACATAACGTTATAACATATTGGAACTTTTACTAGCATGGCTTAAATTTTTCTTTCATTCTTCCTTGTGCTATCTCTTACGTGTATCCTCTAAACTTCGTAGTAGGTCATCGGTTATCGTGTCGCAGTGTTTTCAACAAGGAGGCTAGTGTGACAGAACCTGCCACTGGCAATTAAAGGATCTAATACTGCAGGCTTTTTCGCGAAAAGCAATCTGAAGCACATGCATGACTACCCGATTGGAAGCCCTCTACATGCAACGACGACCGCACGGCACAATTGTGTTCGATCACTAATAAAACGCAAAAATGTTGCCCTACCCTTGTGAGGAGGGTAAACCTCTGCTTGTCCTCCGGCCGTGACCCGTCCCTGTTGGCGGGGTACTCCCAGTCCAGGTCCAGCCCGTCAAAGTTCCGCTCCCGCAGGAAGGTGATGCTGGTGCTGACGAACTCCGCCCGCCCCGCCGCCGTGCTCACCATGTTGGAGAACGGACCGGACCCGAAGTTCCACCCACCGACGGCCAGCAGAGTCTTCAGGCTTGGGTTGGCTAACTGAAAGGGGACATAAAGGGAAAGGTTCTAATTTACTCTGTGCAGAGCAAATGGGTGGTGCCATTTCCATTTCTGTAGCTCTTAGGCCACACATGTACAGTTGTACAAGCACTACAGCAGGGAGCTAGCCCACTGGTAGTGTGGTGTGATGACCTTTCCAAACGCTTTCTTATAAATGCTGGGTGCTAAGCAGAGAAAGTAGTATGTACCAATACCATATTTAAAGTCTTTGGTATGACCCGGCTGGGGTTTGCACTCACGACCTCTCGGTTACAAAGCGAGCACTCTACTGATTAAGCTATTCTAGGGGAAGCTTCCATTCGAAATTCTTCCCTTGTACTACATTTACTCCTATTAACGTATGGTGACCATACAAAACGTAAAAGATCCCTAATTAGTTCAGAATGTGGACCAATAAAATTGGAAGTGTAGTTTTGATGTACTTGCGATACCCTCATGTGATAACAGCCAAATTGTGTTTACAATAGCTAAAAAAACTACCCCAGTCATGAATCAATTCAATACGGTACGAATGAACTGCATCACATTACATTAAACATTGGATAGAATTAAGTATATTACAGCAAATCTACTCATTGATTTCTTTTTAGATATGACATTCTGAAATAGGGACGGGACGACTCAGCAGTGTTCATGTGATTATTTTAGCCAAACTATATTCTCCGTTATTGTGAACTGTATCTGGTCTCTACCAGGCTTCAAGAACGTAGTAGAAATTGGCCAATAAACAGATAACACACTAGCAGAGTTGATCCGCTAAGGTAGTTCAGTTAACGGCTTTATACACATTTAGCGGACCAACTTCCTTGGTATGTTATCTGACTATTTTACCAATATATCTTTTGTAGCAATTCTGTGGCCTTTAAGAGACTACATTGATGCGAAATGTCAAAAATCAAGAGCGATAATAAAACTAATTACCAGGAAGATATGATGATGATCTACTTTGCTTTCCTTACGGCGCGGTCACATTTCCGGGGCCCGGCAGGGTAGTCGTATGGAGCGAAAATTATGATAGAAGACAGCAAAACACACACATACACACACACACACACACACACACACACACACACACACACACACACACACACACACACACACACACACACACACACACACACAAAACATTTTAGAAAATTAACCATAAGCACTATTTGTGTATACTCTTAATACAAATTGTTAATTATTTGTTCACGCAAACAACCCAGCCGGGCCCCGGCTTGGAAATGTGACCGTGCCCTTACCTTGAGGTTGTTGAACCGCTCGTACATGCCCGTCATCCACGGTTCGGACTCGTCGTTCCACTCGAACGCCTTGAGCTGGTTCCCCGCCATGCTGGCGAAGGCGTAGATGATGTGTGTGCAGAGCGAGGAGTCGATATCCTCCGGGTAGAACTTCCCGATCCCCGGGCGGTACTGGGACCAGTTGGTGTGGTAACACACGCGGTAGTACGCCCAAGCTGCAGATGAGAAAGAACTTGGTGGTTATGAAAAAAAAAATATTTCACATTGCACAAAATCGTTTTGCACGGTTCCATTTTAAGATGCAAGTGATTATATCTTTATATTTTGGTATCCAAACCTAGTATTATAACTATCAAGTCTCCTTTGTCATCTTCTTACATACACATATGCGAAAACTCTGCAGAGCTATTTTAGTAATATTTTTTTAATACCAGGCTAATTCCTTTTACTCATCTAGTAGATATTTTTATAGATTCGAATCAACTACATAAGAGTTAAAATGAAAAAAAAAATTAAGGGTGGTGTTGATTTTGGCACTTTAATGTGCATGAAAGTAAAAACAAATCAAAAGTCTGCCAAAAAATGGGTCTTGTTATTCTTCAGCCCAGCCATATATTTGTAGAAAAAAATACAACTTTGGAAAGCATTCAGCAGAAGAGTGCAACATATGGCTGCGTCAAACGTCCGGCTGTTAGCGTGGAAGTTATTATGTTTGCACTCGTACTCACAGAACTGCGGGGACCTATTTATATTATAACATCTAATATAGACCTTGAGTTTACAATGCTCTGCACTGTTCTAAATTAAGTCGTTTTTGTAGTGGTACTTTGGAGTATTTGGGGATATTAATATTTGCCAGTCAAATCCACTTTGACAAGTCATTTCCTTCACCACTTCTGGGCCTAAGTGTTGGAGTTAAAATTAGCTGCAGCAATTAATGTCAATCGTCGAGTATTTACAAAGCTAGTATTGTACTAAAAGTGACCAAAACGTATGTCATAAAATAATTTCTTCAACATAACCGTGTACATCAGCAGCAGTATGTATTCATATATTACAAGTACCAGGAACCAGAACTTTTTATGCTTTTGGCATTGGATTTTATCCAAAGCATAGAATTACAATTCTTACATTAACATGTGTTTTTCAAGAGTTGCCACATTTGTGGAAGAATTGACATAACGGGAGGTAAGATGTCAATCCTAAAACCAGACTTTAAGATTCAAACTACTCACACCGGGAAGGACCCCTGTTCTTTTTCATCAGTGTGACGGGATCTTTAATGTGCTCAAGGCGTAACTCTACTCAAACACGGGTCCCCCGGCTTTACGTATTGTCCGATTTAAAGTTCCTAGCCGATACTCTTTTTCTCCCGAGTCAATTGAATAGGTGTGAAGTTCTTTTCCCAAAGACACTACAATTGGGCGTGCCAGGGATCCGAACCCAGAACATTCGGATTTTGAGTTTAAAAAACCCAACCACAGGGTCACCTTGCCATCTTTTCTTCAAAAGGTATTCTTCAAAAGGATATCAGAAAATTAAATTAGCCTTAAGTTTACTTACCATGGTGGACGCAATGAAGAAGGGCGATGCCAAGTAACAACAGTGTGGGTTTCATCTTCCTACAGAGGACGTAAGTAGCAGTTCCTGGTTTTAAAAGGAAGAACACACATCAAGCTGCATTGTTGGCGCAGGCAAACCGCCTCAATTCCAATTTCATCAAACGTGAGAAAAGATATTTAATCAAAATCGTAAATATTTTTTTCGTAACGATTAATAAGAAAGAAATGAAAGGAAAGATAACGATCAAGAACGAAGCGAATGTAGACTTATAATAATAACGATAGCTGTTGGAAGCACGACAGTACATACAGCTAGGTAAATGAAGTATGTGCCCAATGCATTTTAGGGCTTGATTTTTCAAATTTAGTGTTCTATTGCATTGCTTCAACATGTACTTATCTACATGTTAAAGCAATGCTACCACAATGTATTTCGACATTCATGGAACAAAATGCCAAAATTGTGACGGAAACGGTTACTGGTAGGATCCTGGGCTAAATTGTAGAGCACCACCCAGAAATATTAGTAAAGCCCTCATCTTGGGGCTTGTTTCTGCACTGTTTTCGATGCCCAAAATCTAAAATAATAATGCAAATGCTTATCCGGAGCAGTATGTGTCAATATTATACAGATTGCCTTGTTCCAAACATTTCAAGTTTTACAAGCCCAAAATTGAATTGACCTATAAGATAAGAAGTAGAACTTGGCAAGACTGGTCGGGTTATTCGAGGGACGTGAATATGCACGAGAGTAAAACATGCAAAATTAATCTCACTTTGAGAAAATTTGATTTCTCCAAAAGAATTTGGCAAAAAAGAGTGAACGTTATTTCCACCCATATCAGTCTTCAACTTGGTAAAAGGCAGAAATTCATTAAAAAGGTTTTGTTACTTTACCTGATGGGAACTTGGTCACCTTCACACGGAGATTCACACTAACACAGACCGGCGATGCTTCAACTAGTGTATCGTGTCTAAATGTTCGTCAACGTGTCTCATTATATAACCCCTCAGCTCGGAACCTTTCAAGATGGTCTATTCTGGCAAATGTCAAACTACTTGACCAAATTTGGCGTCATTCCTTTGAAACTTGTTTTGCTTCGGAAATAGTAATAAAACTTCTAAACAGCTTGGCAAACTCTCTTTTCTGCTGCTTCCCGAAATTTCCTGTTGGTGAAGTGGTTGGGGTCAAAACAGTTCAGGCAGTGATGACCCACAGCTGGCCATCTGGCACGTACGCGGTTGTTTTGCGTAAGTCAGTCATGTAATAATTATGTCTTATCATAGAGGAAACAAACATCAAGTGCAGCACAAACACCCTGATAATTGTTAGAATTATTGAATATTATTTAATAAAAATTACTATGTTTGGCCAGACAAGCATGTTGACTCGATTTCAAAGGTGAAGGTCTGTAATATCCGCTTTCATTGACAGTATTCTAGATGAAGTTGTTTGTAAACTCACACCCTCTCTTCTGTTCGACTGAGTTGAAGTGTTTTGACAATATGATTATACGTTTACTTTTCTTACAAACGCACATTTGGTACGTACATGTGTGGGTGTGCGGAGATCACATGTTGCTTAAACAAAGAAACACAAAATGAGCAGGGCCTTCTGATTGCGTACATTCCTCTAAGGGTGCGAAAACTACCCAAAATTGATGATTTAAGTGCTGTATGTGTCTCCTGATGTTGGATATTTGTCATGATTTGGTGGGGACATGTAAGAACATGCTATGTGCGTGACGAACACACTTCGAGTATTCCTAATTGAAAGGGAAGTTTTGGAGCAGTAACCACATATTTGAAGAAGCTGCTCGCCTCACTATGCAATTAAATTATATTCTGGCGGGGATAATAAGTTAGAATTGAAAAAAATACAGTAAAATATATCTCTGCACCGTGCGAAATATTATCTAATCTATGTCAATATGTTATGTTTCCCTTTGATTTGAGTCTCTGTACCGTACGAGTATGTATGATGTATATACAGAGAGAGAGAGAGAGGCTCATGTGAGCTACCCGGCGTGTAGTCGTAAAACACGTTAATAAACCATCCGTTTCCTTTCATTCATTCATCCATCCATCCATCCATTCATCCATCCATTCATTCATTCATTCATTCATCCATTCATCCATTCATCCATTCATCCATTCATCCATTCATCCATTCATCCATTCATCCATTCATCCATTCATATCATTCATTCATTAATTCTTTCATATAATTCATTAACTTATTCATCCGTTCGTCTCTTCGTTCGTCCATCCATTTATTTATTAACCGTGACAAAAATGCAAGAATTTATTTCACTTGTCTTTCTTTTATTCAAGCTGTAGTACTGTTAAGCATATCTAACAGTACCAATCAACCTAGATAGAGCTGCGACTAATTTTAAACTGCTTCTAAATGGCAGTATAGTGTATAGCCGTGGTGGTAACACGTAGGCCATGGCGGCTCGCTGTGCCTTGTTGTAGCCTAGCAGTTGACGTTGTAAGGCCAGTCGCAGACCATCATAGCCTGGTTCCACTGCAGGCCGGCGCCGCAGTGACCGGGGTACTTGTGGCCGCCCGCACACTGGTAGTACTTGTTGCAGTCGTTAGGGTCGGCGTAGAATCCGTCCGGCTTGCCGTGACACGTCACAGCCACCAGGCCTCCTACGTCACGAGGAAGAAAGAGTTATCGGCATGGCCATGTTGATCTGATTATATGGACGACATCATTTGGTAAAAAAAAATGCCTTTATTATGAAATCTAGGTGGTCAGGACGATTGGACAAACGACTAAGTAAGTAACATGTTATTGGCATGGTCGATAATAAACTTATCATTTTCATTCCTTCACATTTTCTTCTTGTCCTTTGAAATTTTTATGGGTTTTGGCATTCTGAGATATAAGTATCGTTTTCTAATATGTTTTTCTTTCTTCAATTTACGCCATATATTTGCTCAGTTTGCAGCTATGCTTTGTACGATTTATATTATGTTTTTTTTTTAAACGGAGAAAAATCCATGTGCGCGTGGATGTCTTCCATATAATCAAATCAACATGGCCTTAGGTGGCATGTAATCTTTGTAATCCAGATGCAACATAGCCTGAGTATCAGCCTTTTTAGCTGTACTGAGTTCTCTCAATTGAAGCAGGAAAGCAGCCGATGCAACCAACGCACTTATCTATTTACATGTTCAGGTGTATTACTAGTATACTAGTCGGCCTATAATTTTTAGGTAAATTTTAGGTATTTTAGGCATTCTCATAATTTCCTTAGTTTATACCAATAGTGCCCAAGTCATTGATGCGAGCTAAACGGCGACCTAAGCGCGGCCATTGATTTTATATAAAATGGAATATGATTTAATATGCTAAAGACAATTAAAAATTACGCAAAAAAGTGTTTTATAAAGTCGATGAGTGCAGATCGTTGGTCGCCGTGGCCAAACCGTCTTGTATAAGTAGAGTCACTGAATTTTTTTAATCAACTACATGTGTAGCATTTCGTAGCATTTATATGTAGAATTTTAACATTCCTGGCAAGTAACTTAGTATACACTCTGTTTAGTAGTCATAGAACATGTTTAGTATAATTAGGTACAGCTGCTCACTGTACCCTTCATATGTATAGTTTAGCGTAATGTAGAATGTACGTGTAGAGTCGAAATATTCTCTAGCCAGTAGTTCTTTATAATACTCTGTCAGATACAATGTCCGTTGACCATATATATAGCATTATGTCAGACACATACCAACTAGTAATTTTATTATTTGCCATACATTGTACCCGTGACAATCGTTGTGCAATAAACTTTGACATGACTTGACTTGTAAAAAAAAAGACGTCATCCTATAATAAATTATTATAAGCTCCTAACCTTGATCCACCACGACGGGTGCCTCGGTGACCACCACGATGGGTGCCTGGGTGGGCACGAGGTTTGGTACATCGGTGACGGGGTTTGGCGCCAGGGTGTTGGGGTCAACCGGCGGGTGAGTGGGACCAGGCGGGAGGACGATGCCGCCAGATAGGCCACCCAGGAGGTTCTTGATGGCGTTCATGAGCGGGTAGGGTCCCTGTCCGCAAGAGCTGCCAGAGAAGTCGTCAATGTCGTAGGCCCAGACCATGGCGCCTCCCAGGTTCTTACTCTTCAAGTACTCCACCTGAAAATGAATGAGTAAATAAATGAATTAATCAATGAATGAAGGGTTAATGACCGAATCAGATGTGTATATTGTGGTATAAGGCCTGGCCAATCCCTATAACCACCGATTGAACCGCCGAGTGAGCGCATTCGAACAGAAGGCGCGTTCCATTTGGGGTCACCGGCTGATTCGTCGGGGCGTTTATAGGATTTAATCACCACTGGTAAGGGCACGTCGTCATGACTACTATAAAATGGTGACTTCTGATTGGTTGATGTCATGTGGCTGTATGATAATGACCTTTATTGTACGTTGTTGCAAGGAGGTTTATGCTCATAAAAGTATGTATAGGTAATAGTGGTAAAACAGTACCATTGGATATGAAATGTTTCTGTTTACCGAAGAAAAACATATTGTTTTTGCTCAGTCTCTTCCTCTTCTTCTTCTCCAAACAGTGACCTCTGACCTGACCAATGACATGATTTGTTGACGTCTGTCCCCATGGTGACTGGTTTTGGGTTACATAATGTTGCAATTTCATGGTCTGCTCTGCTCATGTCACCATACACTAGTAGTACATCTATGTGAATGTGTTTGAGCAAAAATTAACAAAGCAGACCATATACAATTAAAGATGAAAATTATGTATTTGCTAGTTCCTTACTATTTTTGTTTTTAGAATATATTGAAAGCTAGGGAACGTAACTTTGTCCTTACCTTATATTGAAGACTCTCTACGTCATCGTAGCCTACCCACTGGTTTCCCTGGTAAGCGTACGGGGCGAGGTGTTCACTGTGAAACACGCGGGTGGCGCCCTGATTCAGCATCGTGCAGATCTGAAAGAGGGTGGATTACACTGTTAGGCCATTTTGATTTGATTATATGGATGACATCCACGCGCGCATGAATTTTCGGCCGTTACAAAAGAAAAAAAATATTCAACAATACTGTAAATTATACAAAACGGTTACAAAATGAGGAATATATAAGCTAGGTTGAAAAAAACAACAACACTGGAAAACGATACCGGTACCAATCTCCTAGAGTACCAAAATCAAACGAAGAAAGACGAAAATGTAAAGAAATGAATGTGAAGACTAGAATATTCTCCAAACCCTACTCTGTGTCATTCGTTCAACCTTCAAAACCACGTAGATTTCATAATGAAAATAACTTTTTTGGGCAAAATTTCTTATTCGCACGCTCGCATCAGTTTTGGGGTTCCCAGAGGATGTCATCCATATATTAATCAAATTAACATTGGTCTATTGGTCACACTTTCATCTTATGTTCACTTTTTATTTTGTATTTGTTACTTCAACCTGTACTTTGTATGTTTTATGTTACTGGGCAAATGTTCTTATAAGTTCGTACGTGCTTTGCCATCAAATGCTCATAAACCCATGTGAATAAAATGAAATAAACATTTTTGAGCAAGCAATCGACTAAGACCTTATACCTTCATGAAATGTTTAGAGCTTCTGTAAATATTATTGCTTGTTTCATGCATCGATTATCGAAATATGGTTGTTAATAGCATAGTATACATTTTGTTGTGTAAATATCTGTCCATAATCTACTCACATAGTATATTGTAAAGAGAACTTGAAATACGTATGACTTTGAAAGATTTCGCCAGAAACTCCCTTGCGGTTCTAGAAGAAACTGCTAGGGGGACTAACGCAATCTGCCTGTAGATGTACCGACCTCGTAGTAGGCCAGGTAGCCCTTCTCGCGCGTGTATTGGCCCGCGGTGCCGCCGCCGCTAGCCGGGGCCCGGATGCTGTTGTCCCCGGTAGTGGTGAAGCTCCGCCCGTACGTACCCAGTCCCAGGTTGATTTTGGAGGCGGGCACGCCGCCGGCAAGCCACATGTCCACTGCAAACGCCTGGGGGAGTGGACAAAAATGGTGTCAAGAGAAAAACAAACATCATGAAAGTTCTACAAAATCTGCACAAATAAACTACGAATATGTTTGTCTCTTATATCTTTGCTGTTGTCTCTAAGTTCACATCAGGAATCATATTATAATGCTTCCTCTCTCCGTCTTCGACACTCTCATATTCGATTCCTCTCTTCAAAGACGTATAGAAAATAAAGGCAGGCATTTTTAACCTTTCTTTTCATGGTGTCATAATTTGACTTTTTCTTAGCCACTAACCCTCAAAAGGACAACGTCGGCAGAACGTACTTCGCCTGCGCAAAACCCCATTTATTCAGGTATTTGTTAAATGCTTGGTCCTAGTTGCATCTGAATTCTGCCTGTTGCAAAGGATATTTTTTTCCGAAATAATATTTGGGGAGTGCAGAGAGACAGAGTTATATGTGCGAAATCGAATTGACATGAGACGTTCTGCCGAAGTTCTATGCACAATACATTATACGGGTTTCGCGCAGGTGCAATGAGCACGTCGGCAGAACGTACTGCACATGCGTGAAACCCGTAATTTATTGTGCATAGCACTTTGAGAGAATGTCGTATTCGCGCATATAAGGTTAACATCCTGTCTGTAGTTTCCAAATGTTATGTTGGAAAAGATATCGTCTGCAACAGGCAAAATTCTGATGTAACGTTGACCAAAAATCCAACGAAAACCGTGAAAATCCAGTGTTCTGCGCAGGCGCAGTACGTTCTGCCGACGTGCTCCCAAAATGGCGGATGGTAGATGACAAACCTGGTTGAGTTTGCGGTCGTCCCCGGTCTCGTCAGTAGCGGCGTACAGCGGACTGTTCAGACCCGTGTAGGTCTCCCACTGGCCGTGCAGGTCATACGCCATCAGGTTCAGGAAGTCTAGGTACCTGGCAAAAACAGAAGCGTGTTATGGCAGCACAACACCGTTTTAGCCCTATGGGGATTTCTATAGTTAAGGACCCCAAAGTGACTCAGTTCGACTCACTGAAAATCATAGTAGGGTGCACAATCAAGGTTCAGAATTTTGATATGTCTAATTTCAGGGTATAGTGTACAAAATATGTGAAAATGAGCTTAAATTTGCCGGCTAGTTCTCTTCTCATGCCCTCTTTTATTAGCGCCACTGCGGAGGTCATGGAACTGCAGCCGACGAACAGTACTAGGCGGGACAAGTATCCAAGCGCTACGCCGACTGAACATGCACGATAATTCAACTTTTACAGTCTCAAAACTGACGTATTCCTCTAACATTTACCACAGGTTCTATCTCGATGCCATGCACAAAACAATCTCTGCACCCCTCTCTAGTATTGTGCAGCACTACTTTGTGCCTGGACTACGTTTGACTACGGGGTTCGCCCATAAATACTGTGTTGTGCGGCCTTATGATGATAGCGCCTTGTAATCTACAGGTGGCCAACAGATAAGGCTCAACGCCCCTGTCACACATTCAGAACCTTCCCACGAACACCAGCCGAACTAGGTTGGTAGAAATTGGCCATGAGAAGCATTCTGACCAGAATTAGGTCATGCCTACGTTTCTGTACGATTCGAGTCGAATTTGAGTTAAATATGAGTCGAACTTGACTGCCGAACAAGACTGGCCTAGCTATTCCCGAACAATAGCCAACCGTTACTGAACCGTTACTGAACGTTCACACTCGAATGTTTTTAACAATTTGAAACAATTGGATACCGAACACCAACCAACGTTGCTCCCGACCTACCATGGTTGGAAGGAGTTCAGCAGTGTTTGGAAGGCCATATTCGGCTTAATAATCCTTACACATGGAACAGACTTCGTCATCACAACAGTAACGTGTTTCTCACCTTGCCACCTCGGCCATTTCGTAGCCGTTCATAGCGTTGTCCTCTCCGGCCGGTATAGCGGCAGTCAGCAGCAGGGGAGCCCGGTCGGTACGGGCGCCTTCCGCGTCAAACGCCTCCCTCAGTTCCTACGGGGAAGTCATGAAACAAAGTGTCACAGAAATGTGATCCTATATGAGAAGCTATGCTTAGACGTCCCTTGAGCAATCCCAATGAACGGTGGCCTCGGTGTGGTGCAACTTCACGCGCGTTCACGCCAAGAATGTGCTCTCGCGTCAATACAATCAAAATGGCGACCGTACATACCTGGAATAAGTTCTATTGCCATTACTCCCACAGAAAATATAATTGTTATAACCAGTGGAGGAAAATTTGATACCCCTGTTTATGCGAGATCCAAACTTAACTTCAAGTACCAAAATGTGGTCAAGCCACTTTTTTATTTTCCTTAAACTACAAAGTATATTTAGTTTTGGTCTTTGCTGTTCTAAACACGATGCTATGCTCATACTGTTAAACCTAAGTTTGGGATATTTTACTGGAAAGTGTTCTATTCATACTTAATTCACAATATCCTCAATCTAGTCAATATATGTAAATACAGTTTATCAGTATGAGCACAGTAAGAAACGAACACTAAGTTAAGAGCGCGTTCAAAGAGCGAACACTAATTTAAAACTAACTAACGTTCAAAGAATTAAAAGAGTGTTGTACTTAAAAGTACAAAACTTATAACTATTACTGAAATTTAACATCCAAACACAGAGGACATGCGTGATTTTGAAAGTTCAGTTCCAGTGCATGACGTAATGAGCTGTACCTTGCAGAGAAGAGTGAACGTCTGTTTGTCGGACGGCCTCCCACCGCGCGCCGCCGGGTACTCCCAGTCCAGGTCCAGACCGTCGAAGTTGCGCTGCCGGAGGAAGTCGATAGAGGTCGTGACGAACGTCTGCCTGCCTGCAGCCGTGGCCGCCATGTCCGAGAACGCCGTGGAGCCGAAGTTCCACCCGCCAACTCCGAGCAGGGTCTTCACGCCGTGCGGCTAGGGGAGAACGGGGAATCAAGACTACTTGTAAAGCCCAGTTTTGGTTATTAGTTACATGTCATGGTGATACGTACTATAATGGACTATCCTGCACAATGTTTGGGGTTTCACCCTACTATTACTATAGGGACTACTATTATAATAGTTAACCATTCCAAGATGACTTAATTATTCGACGCGGTAAGAATTATAGTAGGGTGCACTAGAGAAACACGGCCAATTAATATGTTGAAATTTACGGCATAATCTACAAAATGACTTTGACTTGACTACAAAATAACTGACAACAAAAAGTTATTATCATTTTTTTTTACATGTACACGCGACGACCTCTTTTATTTGTCCACCTGTGGAGGTCCACTGAACTGCAGCCGACTCACCCTGGAACGCGGTTGCGTAATGCAGCGCATTTATACACGAACAGGAAAATCTTCACAATCCAAATCGTACGGTGTACAAGCCAAATAGTTTCATACCACACAGCGCAGTTTACTCCTGGCTACCTCTCACACAAGTCGCTCTAGCCAGGTTTCAAGAGTTTTCTCCGCACTACTTTGTATACCCGCGTCATAGATATCTGGAAGTCGCCCATCAATACTGTGTTCTGCGACCTTGGATATGGTTCTGGGTAAAATGTTTGTTCTAGATACAGATATCTAAGGCACCACAGGTACCTGGAGATGTGTGTTGAACCTCTCGTACATGCCGGTGGACCAGTCGGTGGAGTCATCGTTCCACTCGTACGGCTGCAGCTGGTTGTTGGTCATCTTGGCGAAGGCATAGATGGCGTGCGTGCACAGAGCAGGGTCGATGTCTTCCGGGTAGAATTTCCCGATCCCCGGGCGGTACTGGGACCAGTTGGTGTGGTAACACACACGGCGGTAGGCTGGGGGTATAATATATATATATCAAAGTCAGACAGAAATCACCATGTATTCCGTTGGCTCGGACATGTTTGCCGTATGTCAGATGGGAGAACTTCAAAGGACCTGATGCAGACTGAACTTGCCAACGAGACAAGAGCATGCTTTAATAAGGATGTTGTTAAATGAGACATGAAAATCTTTGATATTAATATAAAAATATGGGGGACGCTTGCAACAAGCAGGACTCTTTGGAGACACGAAGTCAAGAAGGGCTTACAACTGGAAAAGAAAAGCAAAAACTTGCATCATAACTCAGACGTTTAAGGGGTAAAACTTCTAAAAACAAACAATAGGTACATGATGTGGAAGTTGTACTTTCTTATGATCGAATGAGACAGAGGAATATGCCTGCTTGTCAAATACGCTAAATCCTTATAACACAACAGCTTCGCAGGCACGCGGTGAGGCGGCAGCTGGCTATAGTACACAAGCAGACCAAAGAAGCCTAAAACTTATCGTTCTGTACGTAGGATATTTTTGTTGTACCCATGTATATTTGTCTGTATATCTACATGCCTTACACCTTACGAAAGTCGCTGTACTTTTTGTTGTGGCAATAAAGTTCTCTCTATATTTCCACAATTATCTGTAAGAATTGTTTGACGCTATGTGATGATGCCCCTTCTGTACTCGGTTACGAATTCAGCGAGTTTTACTCTACAATAGGAATGGGAAGATAGAGAGGTTACCGAAAATAAAATTACATGCCACGTACTTGATCGCTGTGCTGGGATGACAGACGCCTGCCCCAGACTCAACATCACACACAGTAGCGCGAGGACGGTCAACATCTTCGTCTTCTTCTTCTGTTTTCGTCTGTAAGGACGGAAGTACAAGAATCTTGATACATTTACAAACATATTATGACTCATGGATCTTAGTATTGTTAGATGTTAGCATTAGAAAAAATGTTCAACATGCATAATTGTACTGCACGTGGTCATACATTGTACCTGCCACAATTGTTGTACAGTATGTTGAGGTTCTCCCTCTTCTTCTATCTCCGAAGTATGAAAATGCAGTTAGTCTATGAAAGACAGGGACAAAAGTGCCGCATTTGAACTTTGGAAACTGCTTATCTATGTAGAATTCAAAGTTTTGCACCACGCCTTCTTTGTAAACGTTTTGCAGTCTGACTCCTAATCCCTCTAACATTTAAACTAAACCGACATGTCAAACTCTAAGTATTACTTGTGGACTTTCTCCGACTAAGAACAAAGTTTGCCACGAGTGTGATTGTTTCCTAAATGGTGTTTGTGCCACTGTAACGTAGACATTTACACAACATGCCACTTCTTTATTCTGTTCGTGTGAAAATTACTGCATGAAATTTATTCAAGTATGCATCTTTTGTAACATATAAGTACCTGGCTTCTGAAATTCAAAGACGCACATTCTAAAACAAACAATATACTTGAACGGATATTACGTAAATGCGTTCAAACAAAAGTTATAAATGGATTCTCATGCAGACACTTAGATTATCTTTTGATTTGAATGTGCTGAAAAGTTTTGAGTGGATCCGGCATATTTACGTATAATTGATATGAATATGTGTTTACGTACCACAAATAGCCTATTGGTATCACTAGGTACATAACACACTTGGTATTTCGTCCGGTTCTGGTTGAATTGCGTCACAGTGTCAGTCAAAGTTTGATAATAGTAAGCTTACTTAGCGGTACTTGAGTACTAACAATGTGTAGGTGCTGTAATAATTTGTCTCACTAATGGCTTTGATACATAGTGTTTAGATAGAAGTATATCTTTTTTTTAAACTACGCGCTACCTTGTGCTTACAGTGGCTACCTATATATGGGCTAGGACGCTTAAAACAATTCAAGAAAACGCAACAAAGACTGTCACTGTAGTTTTGACCCCCCCCCCCTAGGTATTTCTTGTTCTTTCAGATCAGCTCAAAGTTTTATGTGACGAATACCGACTCTTTAAAACATTCTTGACAACAACCGTTGGGCTCATTGTATTCGCAGAGCATAATAATGACGCTATATTTCTACCCTTAAAGCTGTAAGCAACATACATTAGGTACCACACGATAAATGGTGGTCACTGTTGGTACATAGTTCTTACTGAGTAACTAAAATATACTTGTCTTGCGTCAAGAATACCATATTTGCTAATTTTTAGAGAACAATTTACGTTGAAATCACTCAAAATCTACAACATCCCCTCGCTATACTCACTTTAAGACCATATTGAAGCAATACTGTGTGCTTTAAAAAAAAAAACGAAAAAAAAAAGGATTACCTTTGAAAAACGACAAAACTTCTGCAGACTGACTCCTTCTGTCGGCACGCTGACACCACCAGGGATACGCACCAAGCTTCAGAAATGTGTGGAAGTCGCGGGCAGACTTATATAGACTCCGCCATCGGAATAAATATATCTGTTATCTAACGTTCGATAAGAGCGCGAGATACACCAATCAGAGACAGTTTTGAGGTCAGTATGTTATCCAATGGTGGTCACTGTGCACATTGCGTATGTTTGATCGGAATTCTTCCATATCCTTGTTTGCATGTAGACCTTCTTAGTGTATGTGAAAACAAATACTCGCCTCTGACTGGACGCGCAAATGTGAAATGGTAGCATGTCTTTTATTTTCTATAATACATCGTTCACAAGAAATCCAACCTTTAAGCACAGTTTAAAGATGTGTATAAGTTCACTAGAGTGAAGGACATGAACGTTTACGTATGCTTTAAGGCGTCCTCATGGGTAGAATTTAGTGCAGTGATCAAGAAAAAGGAAAAAAAAACTATTCTTTCTGCTTGTTTTTGTGATCGTGTGTCCTAGAAGACAACCCTAATTCAAAGTTGTACGAGTGTTTTTTCACTGAATCTATGCTGTTTTCGCTGCTCAAAATGCACCCTTCTTGTTTCTGCGTGAACAGATGTAGGCATCACACTCAGCCCAAGTGAACACTGTTTACACTGTAAGAAATTGTATTGGACACAATAAAGCTTGGTCAATAAAGGTTTTTTCGTCACTCTAGTGAGCATTTATGTATATTTTAAACCGGCTTAAAGACTGAATTGGTTTAAGGGGCTTGCTAATTGTATCTTTTATCATTTTCAACCTCAGCTTATACCAAACTATTTTAAAGGTGCTCAACCCAAATGTGCTATGATTTGCACCACAGTGGGGAAAGGTAACAATCGCTCGCTAACCCTATTTAGACCGAGGGGACTTGTGATCGGCAACTTTCATCTAAGATAGCGCCTAATGTTTAATTTCATATCAATAGGTAAAATTGGCATGGCAATGGGTTTCTGACAGTTTTTAGGAAATTTTCTAGCATAAGATATTCATAATTCATGCTAATTTGGTTACGACATTGGTCAAAATTTAAGATGGTGGACCAAATTGTTTCTGGTGTAACCATGTTTTTTAACTTATCATAATTCAGTAGTTTTTTTTCAAATAAAACGTTCATATAAACATCTATGCCCATTTATATTCCTTTTTCAGGCTGTATCTTGAAAAAATTGTAATTTCAGAAAAAAAAATTTAGGCGGTTTTATAAAAAAATTACATATATGACGATGTAATGACGTCATATGACGCCATAGTTACACCAGATGTTGTGATATAAACTTATTGCACTCTTAGAATTAAGTGGCCCTACGGTAAGTACTTGTTGAGTTACAGGGGGCGGGTCCCAGCATGACCAGAAAAGCCCTTTCTACATAGGGTTAATGTTGTTTTGACGGATTCTTGTAGAGACTTTACACGAGAAAGAGCAAAGGTGCGCGCCGGCAAACTGATCGACCTTCAGACCGTTTTTCACACCTGCAACTTTTCTCATGAACTTTTGACACTTTATTTTAGCCCGTTATCCATCTTTATACAATAAAAAAGTGGGTTAAAGATGCCGTTGAATTATATCAATGATTTCTTGTGTGCTTGCATGTAATTCTTTACTGTTGTTATTCTTTAAAGGCACTCTATGTAGTTTTTTGACAATACAAAAAGTATCTTTTTCATTCTTTTCTTTACATAGTACATTGACTTAACCCTTTAGTATTCCAAAATCATACTCCGCAACAAAAAATACAACATCCTTGCTCCTTAGAAGCTTAGAAAACTGTGAATGATCTTCTATGCAACCTCTGGCCAAACCGCACATATGGTACATTGTATTGTCCACTGCTAGTGGTTTGACCTACATCCCAGTGGGGTGTCAGTTGATAGCTTACCAGTTTCTGAAATACCTAACCGTTTACCAGATTTTTTATCTCTTTTGAAAGGATAATGAAGGGATAATGACCACAGTTTATTCATGCCCAACAAAATACTCCAAGTTGATAAATATTTCACCAGACCTCATGTGAAAGATATGAGTGTTTTTCTATCGAGGCTATATCTTGTCACATGTGCCCCTGTCAATCAAGCCTGGCAAGCCGGGCCAATTAGCCACCCTAGGGGCAACCCCTGTATGTTGTTGTTGTTGTCCTCAGAGCAAACCGGTGGCACCGGGTACTCAACAAGGACTGTTTGAACGGACAAAATATACGTAAAAAATGTGAAATAATGACACAAATGTGTTGAAAAGTGATAGTAACTGTTAATAACACTGAAATTTAGTATAATTAGAATATTCCAAATTTTTGCGCAAAAAACTACATAGAGTGCCTTTAAAGGATTACCATATTATATGACCACCCCATTGCCGATGCATAGTGTTTATCAAAATTAACTAAAGGCATTTTGCATACCTATTTGTTACCAACTATCCTGATGAAGGCGAGAGTGGTCGATGGAAATTCGTTCTTGTTGTGTTGGAAATTGGAATTAATTGTACCACATTGTACCACATTGTACCACAAAAAAAGATCTCCACAAAAAATGATGAAAACGATATGTAGCATTTATTTAATTTTCAGCTGACAGCAGTTATCAACCTAGAAATAACTGCGACTAATTTTAGACTCTTTCTAAATGACAGAGTATTGGATGGCCTTCGTGCAAAAGCCTAGGCCCTGGCGGTTCGTGACTTGTGAAGCCTCCGATGTTGTAGCCTAGCAGTTGACGTTGGAGGCCCAGTCGCAGCCCAGCATAGCCTGGTTCCAGTGCATTCCGCCGGCGCAGGTTCCGGGGAACATCTGGCCGCCCCAGCACTGGAAGTACTTGCCGCAGTCGGTAGGGTCGGCGTAGTGTCCGTTGGGCCTGCCCTCACACGTCACCCCTACGTCACACATAAGAACAGTTTGTAAGCATTTCATCCAGTGGTCTACTCAATTGATGTTTACCTTGTAATACAGATACAGCATAGCCTAGGTACAAGCCTTTACGCTGTCTCAGTCGGCAAGCAAAAGCTGGTATCCAAGCTATCTGTAACACATTCGCCCATTTAGCTTTGAATGTGCGTCCAGTGACCAGTGTCATCCATGGGACTAGGCAGGTAGGGTAGGTAACTTGATATGTGTGACCATTTATGTCATAATCTATGCTGATTCTATTTTGTAATTTTCATGTACTTATATTGTTTAGGTTTAAATGTGTGTCTTGTTTGTGTGCCTATAATTGTTTTGTGTGTGGACCACAACACCAGCCCCCGCTGCCTGTGTCCCACGAGTATTGTATTGTTAGCAATTTCAATAAATCAAATCAAATCTAATAATTGCAATATGATGTATGATGTAAACGTATGATTCATAAGACAACAAAATAAAAAAAAAATTCTTATGAAATTCGTTGAGCGATATGCTAAATCTCTGATCTACAAACGGTGGATCGCAACCATAGTTCATGGAAAGAGGGCGTAATCTCCTAACCTTGTGGCTCCACCACGACGGGTGCCTGGGTGACCACCGGGATGGGTGCCTGGGTGGCCGCCGCGAGATTTGATACACCATCGACCAGGTTAGGTACCTCATTGATGAGGTTTGGTACCTCATTGACGAGGTTTGGTACCCCGCCGTTGATGAGGTTCGGTACCCCGCCGTTGATGAGGTTAGGGACCTCGTTGATGCCGTTAATCGGCGGGTGGGTGGGACCAGCCGGGAGGACGAAGCCACCAGATACGCTCGTCTCCAAGAGGTTCTTAATGCCGTTGATGAGCGGGTAGCGTCCCTGTCCGCACGAGCTGCCCGAGAAGTCGTCTGTATCGATGGCCCAGACCATCGCCCCTCCCAGGTTCTTACTCTTCAAGTACTCCACCTGAAAATGAAAAAAAATGCATGAATGAATGGATGGATGAATAGATAAACAAATGAACGGATTAAAGGGCAAATGACAAGCCCCAACGTGTATATGGCATCATAAGTCTGGGTATCCATGTAATCACCGATTGAACCGCCGAGTGAGCACATTCCAAAGAAAGGCGTGTTCCATTTGGGGTCACCAGCGTTTATCGGTCGGTATTTATAGGTTTAATCACCACTGGTAAGGTTATGGCGCTGTGAAATGTGGACCTCTGGCAACTGGTTATATTCTGAAGTTTACATTGCTATTTTTTTCTTTTTAATATGCTTCGAAAACTCATATTTGTACTTACCTTATACGGAAGGCTCTCCATGTCATCGTAGCCGATCCACTGGTTTCCCAGGTACGCATATGGTGCGAGGTGTTCATTATCGAACACACGGGTTGCACCTTGATTAAGCAACGCACAGATCTGAAAAAAAAACGATGAATAGGACTCTAGTTATTGGTACGTAATGTTCAATTTGCTCTTGTGGGGTCGTGTGACGTAGTGGTAGCCTGCTCGACTCGGAACCAAGAGGTCCCGAGTTCGAGTCCTGACATGCCACCGATCTTGTGCCCTTGGGAAAGGCACTTTACATTGACTGTATTGTCTTGTCCTGCATTCGTCTTCTGCGTTGGTGACGGCATAAAATACGTTGATATAAACTTGAGTGTGCTGTCACCATGTCCAGTCATGAAATGTTGGAATATATATTTAAAAAATGCTCTTACATGATATATTGCTTCAAAACAATTGTAAAAAGAATGCACAGACCCCAGAATTTGTTAAAGGACAAATCTTATTTAAATGTTATTTTTGGATCCTCTTCTCATTCACTATGTTGTCCAAAAGTCATCACTTGGAGGAGGGGGATCTCTCTTCAAGAATGTTAAGCTTTATTATCAAGCTTTACTTGTTATCTGATGTACACACACACACACACACACACACACACACACACACACACACATCCATCCAGACACAGACACTAACACACAAAGCCCAAATACATTACCTTCACATTTCATGAAGGTACTAAATAAGGAAAATCGGATATATATTTGGTGTGTGTTATAATACTAGAGGCTGATGGACCTCGTACTCTCGAAGGTGGCTTCTTTTTGTGCGATTTTTTTTGGCTTTCCTTTTTTGTACCGATGTTTTTTAATCGCTAGCCTACTGTGGCGCATTGGCTACTGCCTTAATTTGCCAATTCAGTACTGTCTTGCCACTTTGATACTACCGACAGAAGATATTCTTGTAGATTACCGACCTCGTAGTACGACAGGTAGCCCTTCTCGCGCGTGTATAGCCCCGCGGTGCCGCCGCCGTTGGCCGGGGCCCGGATGCTGTTGTCCCCGGTAGTGGTGAAGCTCCGCCCGTAGGTAGCCAAGCCAAGGTTGATTTTGGAGGCGGGCACGCCGCCGGCAAGCCACATATCCACTGCAAACGCCTGGTGTTAAAAAATTGGGAAAATGATGACGATTTAACATTTTTTTTCTAAGCAGTTCTCAGCAACTGTCTCTCTCATTCACTCTCTCTCTCTTTCCTTGCTTCTGATGACTTCATTGATGTTGATGATTTTTAATGAAAGGGCACATTTAAAAACGCCGCCATGCCAGACAATACGTCGCTCACGGTGAAATAAAGTAAGAACAAACAAATAAAGAAACAAATGAGCAAAATATCCATTCTTGGAGACAAACAAAGAATTAAGTATTTTTAAAGTTGTTTATTCATCACGTCATAGGCAACTATATCTGAGCCCCTACCCCACCAAAACTGAGGACGTCGGCAGAACGTACTGCATCTGCGCATACTCACGCATATAAGGTTAACACTCTGTCTGTAATTTTGTGTCGAAAAAAATTACGTTATCGTCTGCAACAAATTCTGATGCAATGTTGACCAAAAATCCCACGAAAATCTTAAAAATGGGGGTTTCGCGCAGTCGCAGCACGTTCTGACGACGCGCTCCAAAATGGCGGATGGTAGCACGTCAGCAGAACGTACTGCACCTGCGCAAAACCCGAAATGTTTTGTGCATAGCACTTCGGCAGAACGTCTCATATTTTGTCGTTTTCACGTATGTAAGGTTAACATCCCGTCTGTAGTTTTCAAATGTTATGTCGGAAAAGATGTCGTCTGCAACTGTTATAGCTAGGCAAAATTCTGATGCAACGTTGACTAAAAATCCAACGAAAACCGTGAAAAATCAGGGTTCCGCTCAGTACGCACAGTACGTTCTGCCGACGTGCTTGCAGATGGTAGATTGCGTCATAGTCACGTGACAAACCTGATTAAGTTTGCGGTCGTCCCCGGTCTCGTCACTAGCGGCGTACAGCGGACTGTTCAGGCCCGTGTAGTCCTCCCACTGGCCGTGCAGGTCATACGCCATCAGGTTCAGGAAGTCCAGGTACCTGGCAAAACACAAACGTCTCTTATTTTCATGCCTCATAATCTGGAGTTGGTCAGGAGATTAGAAGGCTTTTGAGGTAAACATTTGCCCCATCGATGTACGGTCGTACATATCAAAGAGAAATTTTTACGTTGATGGTTAACCTGTTGAAATGTGAAAAGTACTTCAGCCTTTCTCTGAACATCAGTCGACGGAAGCTAGATGCAGTTCCGGGGCAGTCTGACCAGGTTAAGGGTATATATGCCTAACTTTCTATATGGAACGAATTGAATTTGACTTAAATCTGGGTCAAATTTTATTGACAACCACATCCCGACCAACTTCCAAACAGCAGCCAACGGTAATGGCTGAACCATCCATTCAAAACCTGCGCAGCCAAACAGTAACCGACCTGGTGGAACACCAGGCCGACCTTGCTCCTGATCTATCCTTACGCATGGTTGAGGGGAGCTAAGTTAGTGTTAAGGAGAAGGTTCTGTGTAACAGGGGCTTTACCTTGCCACTTCGGCCATTTCGTAACCATTCATAGCGTTGTCCTCTCCGGCTGGTATAGCGGCGGTCAGCAGCAGGGGAGCCCGGCCGGTACGGGCGCCTTCCGCGTCAAACGCCTCCCTCAGTTCCTACGGGAAAAACATAGTTACAAACGCCGAATTACAACATGTAAACCAATTGACCCTGTCACAGCTATAGGTCAAGTTCAGACTGAAGAGGGTGTTATTTTTACAAGAAGAAGTTGACGGGCCCAATAAGAGGATCCCAACATTTTAAAATTGGGAGAACCAAAATATGGTGAAATGCCTGCATGTCTCCTTCAAATGCTACGCCACACACTACACCAATCAATCGGAAAGGTTACTACCTCAGTCGTCGAAGATAATATTAATATTTTTACTAGTGGAAGAAATTTTGATAGACCTGATAATAAGATTGCGGAACAGTAGACTTAGTGGTGATTAGAACAAGAATACTAAAATGAAATGTACCTTGCAGAGAAGAGTGAAGGTCTGTTTGTCGGACGGCCTCCCACCGCGCGCCGCCGGGTACTCCCAGTCCAGGTCCAGACCGTCGAAGTTGCGCTGCCGGAGGAAGTCGATAGAGGTCGTGACGAACGTCTGCCTGCCTGCAGCCGTGGCCGCCATGTCCGAGAACGCCGTGGAGCCGAAGTTCCACCCGCCAACTCCGAGCAGGGTCTTCACGCCGTGCGGCTAGGGGAGAACGGGGAATCAATGCGTATTTTTATGGTTCTGTTTTGGATGTTAAATAAAAGACCTATATTATACGCTTATGCAAAGTACAGGTCATGACGATATACGGCAATGCAATTCTATGCACAACAAGAGTTCCGAGATCTCATACCTCCATGAAATATGGGCTTGACATGTAAATGTAAATTTCTTCTTTAATTATGTAAATTACCTCCACATTAACATAATAAATGCATCGTGATGTTAACTTTTGATTAACTTGCACATGTACCAAGTATGAGATTCCCATCATTTACCACTAAGGAGTCATAGAATTTTCGCATTAATTATGCAAATTAGGTCATCATTTGCATAATTGGTATCTGTTGATGTTCCATCTGCCATAGATTACATACATTACATGTATGAAAGTACTATAATGTAAAACCATGTAATTATAGAATTTTCTCATTAATTATGCAAATTAAGTCATCATTTGCATAATTTGTAGTTAATTATGTACATTCCCTCTCAGCTACCTACCTACCAAAAATGATGATAATACTAGTACCTTGTTCCTATCTGGACTTATTGGCTTTTAAAGATTTCGCCCGAAAATCTCCTGCAGTTCCAAAACAAGCTGCTAGGGGGACCAAACTCACGCCACTTATTCCTGACAGGAAAAGCTATCTGTCACCAAAAATTCAAGACCATAGCATGTTTAGGACAAAAGATACAAAAACCGGAAGTTCTGCTGCAGTACCAAGGTCATCCACCAGGAGGCCCATATTTGACCCTGACCTTTGTCTTTCTAAGACTTACCAGCGTACCAAATATCATCGCAATTCATAAAGGCGTTATGGAGTTATGCTGACTACAAATGTGCAGAAACACAAACACACAGACACACACACATACAGACACACACACACAGACAGACACGCCTCCATGAAATATATGAGTTTTTGTATACAGTACACTAAGTGTTTCAAACACACAGCTAATCAGGCCTGCAGCTAATACAAACCCTAACCCTGAAATAGGTCACCTATTCCCCTGAGGGAACCACATTAATCAAACCGGGTCCCAAGCGCACTGACTCGATAGCCACACAATGAGACATCTGTTGGCTGCAAAGGAGATTCCTCATTAAACCGGAAGTGCTACTGCACTACCAAGGCCATCCACCAGGAGGCCCATATTTGACCTTGACCTTCGCCCCTAACACCTACCAGCATACCAAATATCACCACAATCCATGAAGGCGTTATGAACTTATGAAGGTACAAAAAAGCGGAAACACAAACACACATACACACACACACACACACACACACACACACACACGCACACGCACACAGACGCGCCAAAAACAATACCTTCCATTTCATGGAGGTAATTACAGTGAGTCTTATTACATATACGCAAACTCACTAATATGTATACTAGTATTTACTGGTTCAATTTTTTTGTTTCAAAAGATAGTCAGTGGGAAAGTGTCCTATCCATACTATAGTCAGTATATAGTATATAGCTTTAATCCATGTTTATGCACATATACACACGTATAACTATCACACTTTGAGTATAACATGGGATATCTTAAGACTGTGATGTAGTGGGAAGAAAAGTTTAGGAGAGAAAAGGTAAATAAGTTACGGAAGACAATATTTTGAAACCCTTGAAATGCAGTCTCATCTTCCTATTTGGGTAGTATACGTGATTTGTCTTGGTATTAAACAGATTATCACATGTGGTTCTAATAGCTAGCTCGGCCACATTGGACTTGCGTTTAACATAAAATACACAGAATGTGGTGGAATCTGTTTGGTCTGCATTGTTCGGGCCGTATTTGAGGGCAAATTTAACTCAAACTTATTTCGATTCACGTAGAATGGTAGGCGCGAACGGGCTGCTACCGAACTTTAGACAACCAAGGTAGGCTGGTGTTCGGGGGTTCTTTACCTGTAAAATTATGCCCGTACACAGTCAAAAGTGGTACAATGCAATGATAGGAAACAGACAGCCAGTACCATGACGTTTATTAGTACCTTTGATCGAAAACATTCTCTCACATAGAGCTTTCAAAGAGTCTACTTACTAGGGTGACCAGAGTGACTGGTCGAAAGCTCTAGGTGAGGGAATTTCTTCGTGTTGGATCAAAAGGTTTAACTTTAAACGTGTAACAATCAGCACACAGATGAACTTTTTAGGATTATCATAGTACCTGGAGATGTGTGGTGAACCTCTCGTACAGTCCGGTGGACCAGTCGGTGGAGTCATCGTTCCACTCGTACGGTTGCAGCTGGTTGTTGGTCATCTTGGCGAAGGCGTAGATGATGTGCGTGCACAGGGAGGGGTCAATGTCCTCGGGGTAGAACTGACCGATCCCATGGCGATACTGGGACCAGTTGGTGTGGTAACACACACGGCGGTAGGCTGGAGGGGGGAGGGGCATAATACATAGAAGAACTTTATTGGACGACAATTGTACAGGGTACATTGTATGGCAAATAGGTAACAATAAGTAGCATAGTAAAATAAATAGGTATAGAATAAAACTTATATATTACGGCAGGCACATGTACCAACTACAAAAAAAAAAACTTCAACGGCAACGGACGTCGTGCACCAGATCGTTGTGAGATCACACAATGAGTGCATTCTTTAACTCGTAGCAGGTCATTTGGTGGATACAGTACAAAAGACAGTATAAAATTCGTAAAACAGTAAGTATCACATATCATATTTGCCAAGCAGTATCCGATACAACATTCGGGGCGTACAAAAAATACCATATCCATGTACCTTCCTAGCAAAACAAAATTTAAGCCGGAAAACTAAATAAAACGCGTAAAAAATAAGCACAACTTCCCTAGAAGCGTAAACCTCCCATTGGAGCATTTACGCTTCTATATTCTTATTCTTGTGTCATTATTCTTATGTGAGTGTCAGTCAGAATCTGTCTGATACGAATAAAAAAACTTGCTTGGCACAGAAAACATTTGATACTACAGCGCAGGCGGAAAGGAGGGAGAAAATAAGGGATAACTACAAAACACGTACTTGATCTCTGTGCTGGGATGACAGACGCCTGTCCCAGACTCAACATCACACACAGTAGCGCGAGGACGGTCAACATCTTCGTCTTCTTCTTTAGAGTCTGCTTTCGTCTGTAAGGAGGGATTAAAAAATTAATACAGACATAAAAAAATCTATGACTCAAACATATATCAAACTTATTAGATGTTGTTAAATATCAGCAATAGCTTAACTTCAATATTTGCACAAGTTGCAATGCACTGTACCTGGTATAAGTGTCTTGAAAAAAGTTTTCTTCTTCTATCGCCGACGTCTAAATGCAGTCACTCTATGAAAGACAGGGACAAAAGTGCCGCATTTGAACTTTGGAGAGTTCTTATCTCCGTAGATTTCAAAGTTTTCCCACCACGCCTTCTTTGTAAACGTTTTGTGGTCTGACTTGTAATCCCTCTAATATAAAAACATGTATAACTTTTAAACTTTCTACGACAAAGAGCAAACACATGTCACTAGTGTAATTGTTTCCTAATTGGTGTTTGCGACATGGTAACTGTTTTTTCATAACATAAAACTTCTTTTTTTCTGTTCGTGTGGAATAATACCACACACAGCTCATTAAAGTAAAAACGTTTAGTGACATATGCTTACACCACTTCTGAATCTCTTAGACACGTACTTTTACAACAAATTATACTTGAACGGATATCACGTCAAAGCAAACGTTATTAATGTATCCTCGTACAGACAGGTAGATTATCTTTATCTTATGAACGAGCTGGCTAGGTTTTAGTAGATCCGGCATATTTACGTATAATTGATATAAAGCAGTGTTGACGTGCCACAAATAGCCTATCGGTATCACTAGGTACATAACACACTTGGTATTTCGTCCGGTTCGTGGAGTAGCTTCTGGTTAAATTGCGTCACAAAGTGTGATAATCGTGACCTTACATGTAACGGTACTTGAGCAATGTATATGTAGATTGTGTCTTATTAATGGCTTTGTTATATGTTATTTTGGCTCAAACTTTATCTGCCTTTTAAAGGCACCCAAACCAATTTCAGGGCAGTAAATCTGGATTTTCATAGTCATTTTTTCTTAATGTACTAATTTGAATCAACCCTATTCCATAGTATACTGATATCTGTGAGAAAGAAAAAAATGCAAAGTCGCTGACGACAAACGGTTGCTTGTTTCGTGTTATAGGCCATTTTTGTTTATTGGTTGTACCAAAACATACAGGGGCTCCTCACGTAGCTTGCTTCTTTGGCAAGTATGAAATGATAACTAAATTGTTATAAGAAACAAGAGCAAATATCATTATCAGAAAGATTTACTCATCCGTAATTCTTTTAGAGGTGCCGCTCTCGCATTGTATGCCTTTAATCAATTTAAAAGTTTTGGGAATAGCTTGTGCTTGTAGTGGTCGTTAATGGGAGGATTACGACTTTACTGAAAACGCTTAAAACGCAAGCTAGACAATATAGTTTATACCACCCCACCTCCTAGAAAAAAATAGGTAGCACTGCTTCTTCATTTTATGAAAGCTCGAAGTTTAATAGAAACTTGGCTTACAAAAAATAATTGGCGACATAAGACAACAAATTTTGATAAACTGGAAAGCGCTGATTTTTCCCTTAAGTAAAAATCTAGAGTGACAAATATATTTAAAACGTTAAATAATGGTGACTATTGGTATTGATGATTTTTACTGAATAAGTAAAATATGTTTACCTGTATCGAGAACACAATCTATTTTTTTTTTCAAGCAAAACGTACGTGGATTATATTCCAAAAAATCTAACTAAAGACACAGGACTCAATTACTACATAGTATGTTTCTGAGACAAGGAGACGACAAAAAAGCTTACCTTTGAAAAACGACAAAACGTCTGCGGACTGACTCCTTCTGTCGGCACGCTGACACCACCAGGGATACGCACCGAGCTTCAGAAATGTGCGGAAGTCAGTCGCGAGCAGGTTAATATATATAGACTCCGCCTTCCGAATAAGCTCATATCTTATCTTAGGCCATGTTGATTTTATTATATGGATGCATGCATGAATTTTCGGCCGTTACAAAAAAATGGTTTCAACCATACTTTAAATCGTACAAAATAGTTGCAAAATAAGCAAATGTATACCGTAAGTTGCAGCAAAAAAAATATTGGAAAACTATACTAAAGTCGTAGAATAATAAAAATGAATTAAAAAGACGAGAATGCAAAGAAATTAATTTGAAGAGTAGATTATTCGCCATACCATACTCTGTGTCATTTGTTCAACCTTCATGATCACGTAGATTTTATAATGAAAGCAAATTTGTTGGGGGAAAACTTTTTTATTCGCACGCTCGCATCAGTTTTGGGGTTCCAAGTCATCCATATAATTAAATCAATATGGCCTCATGGTAGATAACAGAATCAACAATCAGAGACAGTTCTGTGGTACGTATGGGTTCTAATGGTGGTCACTTTGTACACTGTGCATGTTTAATCGGTGTCCTTCTTTATCCTTGTTTGTTTAAAACACTCAGACCGTATGAACTGGTGGGTACCGGTCGGATGAAATAATACCAAGGTCTGACTGGACGCACTATAAAGAGTTTATTCGAGATTTACACCTCTTTTATCTCCTGCCTCAAATCTACTACAGGAAATCAAACCTTTAAGCATAGTTTAACTTAAAAAAATGCATAGATGTTCAGCAGCGCTATAGCGTGAATAAAATAAACCTTTAATATAACGCATGCTTTAATTGACCTTCAAGATAGATTTTCGTCCAGTGGTCAAGTGGGGGAAAACTTTTTTCTGGATTTTATAGGCTAAATTTAAAAGACGGTCCCAAATGAATTGGGAAGTTGAAGATGCTATTTTCACTACATCTATGTTGTTTTAGCCGTTTGGAATACGCTCTTCTTGATTATGCGTGAACCTAGTATGTAGATATAAGTAAGTGTACATGTACAGTGCTCGATTATCGTATGTTTTATTCTTACTGATGATGTAAAAGTCATGAATGCTAGTTTCAACATCAGAGTCCCTAAAATCTATTTAAAACCATAAAACGTACACACTACATACAGGCGTAAATGTTCACTAGCGGCAAGAAAATGATCCTTTACGAGTTTTAAACTGTTCTTAAAGATACGTCGATGAAGGTTAGACATCCAGGTAATACGATATGCCAAAAAACTGTCACTCAAGCAACTGGATAGTATTTTGAAAACGTCAGACGTTTCAGCTAGTATCCACTAGCTTTCGTCAGTGACTGAGAGACCAGAGGGGAAAGCAGGTTTATATACACAACCTGTTGATTGATATGCAAATAAAGTGAAGACAAATTTTTGGAAGTCGAAAAAGGAACAAAAGTCAGACAAGTCAAGACAAGATGATGCAAATTAGTCTGAAAGCTCCTGTATTACAGGACAGGAGCTTAAGTGTTGTCTGTCCTCGGGGCTGGGAGTGCCAAATCCCAAGTGCCGGAAAGATCGACCCGTAGCCCCCCTTCCCTGTTGAGGGTGGGGTTGTACATTCTTTCATATATTGCCTCTTTAACACCCCGTTCCCACCAGCGTGTTTCGCGGTCTAATACATCCGTGGACTCGAGTTTGAAAGAGTGACCCTGTTCTTAAAGATACAATTTCGCGTGCAGTGACCGTAGAAAAGTATACACCAAAGCACGTTTACTATGCTATTGTTTTGACGGATTGCTATGAAGGACTTTACACGAGAAAGGGCACAGTTGTTCCCTTTGTAAACTGGCCGACCTTCAGACGTTTGCTACACCTGTACATTTTCTCATGAACTTTTATACTTTTTTTTTATATCTGGGCATGTTATCTGTCTGTTACGATATAGAATAGATAAAGGATTCCTTTAAAGCATTTCAATGCCTTTTTTTTTCTTTTCTTTTTTTTTTGTAATTCGTTAATCTCGTAGAATGTATGGGGTCGTGTGGCGTAGCGGCAGAGTGCGCGACTCGGAACTAAGAGTCCCGGTTTCGAGTCCTGACATGCCACCGATCTTGTGCCCTTGGGAAAGGCACTTTACACGACTTTCCTCACTTCGCTCAGGTGAAAATAAGCATTGTCCTGTAATGTATTTGTTCCCTGTGTTGGTGGCGGCATTAATATAAGTTGAAGAAATTTGTGAGTGTGTCGTCACCACGTCTGGTGATTACATGTTGGAATAATAATAATAATAGAATGACTGTATTATGTAAGGACACCATTCCAACTGCAATAAAAATTGCACACATTGTTTTGTATGGCTTTATTCAGGATTCCATGACATCATTGACACATACAATATAATAGATATTAGTTTGCTAGTTAGGGACTGAAATATAAATATAACGTAAATATGATTAATGCGTTGTGATATTGTTGTACTTTCTTCCATGTTATATTAGGATAACTGTTTGTTACGCCCCAACGCTAAATTTTGATCCATGATTATTTGTTTGAGATTCTTATTAATACACTTGGATTTCATATTAAAGTCCGTAAAAACTATATATAGGTAATCAACATTACAGTTTTGCTATGTGCTAAATTTAAAACAAGAATATGTCAGCTCCATAGTAAGCAACTCGTCTTAGGTTTTTAACATATGTGCAAAACATAAGTTTTCTGTCTCCCTTTCTGGATTTACTATTTAGCACAGAAAGCAAATAGATATAGCTCTGATATCTGCAAAAATGAATCATAATATTGTATTCAACAGAAGCAAAGAAACACTATAAAATATGTTTACTTAAAGTCACCAAGAATAACAGTTTCTATTAAAATTTCACCACACTGAAAAATGTACAAGAAAAATTCTCCTGTGTATCTAGTTGTGCATGCCTGTTGGTGCTGAAAGAGACATATTTCATACACAGTTTTTCAAAGTGTCTGATATATAAAACCTGGACGATTATTAGTTACTAGGGGTTACATGAACTCACAATTATAGTAACAGTTATGGCATTTTAGTTATCAGTTAACACTACATTCCAGTGAAAGGAAACCGTAATGAGCTACCAATTCTTTTTTTATTTGTATGACTTACAACATTATAAACTATATATAAACTATCGATGTAAGAGTACGATATGAAAGACAACAAAACACACAAATCTGACTCAAAAGATTTTGACATTATAAAAGGCACTTCTTTCTCGATAAAATCCGTTCGAACGCACTATAATAGATGGATATGGATTCTCGCTCAATGGTAACAACATCTTAGTGGAAAGGAGGTACAAATGAAGAAGTTAACGTGTCGTTTATGATGCTGTTATGCATGGATGTCATCCTGGCGACAGAAGTCGTGAAAGCGCCTTCTACCGACCGCTCTGAACCTGGCAGTTGGCGTCGCGAGGCCAGCCACATCCCCCGGTGGCGGCGTTGAAGTGTGTTCCCGGCGCGCACGGCCTGTGCCACATCCTGCCGTTCCACCCGCACTGGTAATACTTCCCGCAGTTCTCCGGGTCAGGGTACTTTCCCCTCGGCTTGCCCTGGCAGGTGAAGGCCTCACCTAGCGAAACAAATGTGAAATGCACATGTTTGAGCGTGGCAAAAAGACCGACTTAACAGTAATGTTTGTGTACTTTGGAGTGATAGCGACATTGGAGCAATATGTTCACTACATTACTACTAGTTTCTAATGAGTGCCCAGCTTTTGTTAGAGGCGTCGTTTCCGACAGAACGTAAAACTACAAGTCGGTTCACCGGTTATAAGAAAAAAACATTTTTAACAAACAGCTAGGTACATGTAGATTGTCGTTGTAATTATTTTCGTGTCATTCTGTATTTTCCATGTGTTTCTGTTATTTTATTGTAATACTTTTACATTATTATCAATTAATGCTCTTGAAGAGAAGGGCTTTATAAGCACCTTCCCTCCAATACTATTTAAACAAATGTGTCTTAAAGCAAACAAACAAACAAACAAACAAACAAACAAACAAAAGAAAACAGACTAAAAAGTTGTACTGACCACTCTGAGCTCCGCCCGTGAGGACGCTAGCGCTCTGAGCCTGACAGTCGACGTTACGGGGCCAGTCGCACCCTTTGATGGCCTGGTTCCACTGCGTGCCTCCCCCGCACGGCCGGTGGAACTCCCGCCCGGCCCAGCACTGGTAGTACTTAGCGCAGTCAGCCGGGTCCGGGTAGAACCCGTTCTGTCGTCCCTCACAGGTGAAGGGAACAGCTGTGGGGACAAACGTCAGATAAACATACGTCAATGAAGTATGGTCATCAGGTAGAACAGTAACCAAGATCAGATAGAGGTCCAGAGTTCGAGTCCTTAAATGCCACCGATCTAGTGCCCTTAGGAAAGGCACGTTACACGACTTTCTCACTTCGAATTCACTTGGGTGAAAACGAGTACTGCATTGTCCCCTGTGTTGGTGTATGATGTTTTATACCTTCGGATATGGTCTGCCCTGTTAATTCTTACAAACACTTTCACATACATGTACATGTATATGGTGACAGGAGTCTAAATGTGGCGTCGGGTGGTGTAGTGGTTAGAGCAATCGACTGTGAACCGGGAGACCCGGGTTCGATTCCGAGTCGTACCCGGGACACGTCTGAACATGCGCCCCGACGTTGTGCCCTTGGGAAAGGCACTTTACACGAATTTCCTCACTCCACCCAGGTGTGAATGGGTACCTAACTTCGGTTGGGGAAAGTCGTATTGAGGTCACCTTGTGGCGCCGAATGGCAGCCGCACAGACCCTTGCGACAGTTCCACAAAAATGATTGTGGAACAAATATGTGTATTATTTGTATTATTTGATTGTTGTAATTGTTATGATTTGTATTGATTATTATGTGATACCCTGCACCAATTCAGCCGTATAAAGGCTGCGACTGCACGGGTACTGTTTGGACAATAAAAAAAAAATTATTAAATGCCTACTATGAAATTGCAACATTATGTAACCCAACACCAGTTACTATAGTGACAGACGTCGCAAAAGAGGCCATCGGCCAGGTCAGAGGTTAGTGTTTGAACAGAAGAAGAAGAAATAGAGCAAAAACAATATGTTTTCCTTCGGTAAACATAACAATGTTATGTACATTTAGACTGTAAAATATACTAGTATTATATATGGCGGTTACAGGTTATCATCGACCCACTCACTCACTCACTCACTCACTCACTAATGGCTGCCTGCCCCCAATATGTTGTGTAATCATTGTTCATCTTGATGAAACAAGAAAGAACCAACCCCGATCTACTCACCTGGAGACTGGGTCGGTGCCTGGGTCGGTGGCTTGGTTGGTGACTGGGTCGGTGGCTGGGTCGGTTGCTGGGTTGGTGGCTGGGTCGGTGGCTGGGTTGGTTGCTGGGTTGGTGGCTGGGTCGGTGGCTGGGTCGGTTGCTGGGTTGGTGGCTGGGTCGGTGGCTGGGTTGGTGGCTGGGTGGGTGCCTGGGTAGGTGGTTTGGTCGGTGGCTTGGTGGGTGGCTTGGTCGGTGGCTGCGGCTGGGTGGGTGGCTTGGTCGGTGGCTGGGGTTGCGGGGTTGTTCCCTCGCTCTCACAGTCAGGCTCTGGCGTCTCGCAGGGAGCCTCGGTCACCGCCGGGGTGTTTTGAGGCTTGCTCGTGGGCGCTTCAGTCGGCTCCTCCGCCTCCAGCAGGTTCTTGATGGCGGTCATGAGCGGGTAGGGACCCTGACCACACTTCTCACCACGGAAATCATCCACGTCTATGGCCCAAACCATAGATCCACCCAGGCCTTTTTTCTTCAGAAATGCGATCTATTGGAGAAGAGGGGAAAAAAAGAAACACGTGAACACATTTCTTCTTAATTCAAACTATTAAGCAGTTTCCAAGATCACAAAAATCGACAGAAATGATATACAAAGCAATTGAGGCAGCTGCTATTATAAACTGGTATACAATGAAGGTACTAAAGAGATGGACTAGAATACGCAACGATGAATAGAGATGAAGAGAAAATTCTATTTCTGCTTCAGTCATTGGTGGATTTCAGTTCCTTTACCATTGGTTGTAACTAATAATGAATGAATTATCATAGGACCATTGTGGTACTTTTATGCCCTTCGACAAGCTAAGTACAGGTCAAGTTGACAAGGTAGGTACAGGTACAACATGGCAGTGGTATAAGAATGTACCATTTACTACATGTTCATCTATTAACTGGTAACCCTATATTCAGACCAAAGACCTGAAAATTTCAATGTTTAAATAAACCAAATTTACTAAATTTCCCAAAAACTGACTGTCAGAAACCTATTGCCTTGGCCACTCGAAAATCTATCAGGTTATCTCAATAATATGAAATTGTGGCCAGATATATGTTAGCAGTGTGTATGTAGTGTGATGCGAAGTTGTTTTTCCTGCTCACCTTAGCGGCGATGCTCTGTTGATCGTCGTACCCGACCCACTGACTCCCCAGGTAGGCGTACGGCGCCTGCTGCTCTTCATCGTACACCCGCGTGGCGCCGTTGTTGAGCATATCACAGATCTGGAAAGCGATATACATCATGATTATCTTGTACTGTATATGCATGCTTAACAAACTCACGACAATATGTGTTAAATTACATTGTTGAAATACACCACTAGAAGTTAACACAACAGATATGAATGTCTATTTACATCAGGGCCCACCACCCTTCACTTAACCGCGACGGAGGCCGACATCGTCTACTAGATACCTTTGACCCAGTGTTGACGTCACACTTCAAAGAACCCACGTGACAAGCCTCACTGGGTTAGTCTACTGAGGAAGACCAGAGTGACTGGTCGAAAGCTCTAGGTAAGAGAACTTTTTGTGTTGGACCAAATGTTTTAACTTTAAACATGTAATTACCAACACAGATGAACTTTCATGATAAACTTGAATGTCAGTTGAAATATCAAATAAACGTGGTTCACCTTTGCTGACATACTGTGACATTTTTTGTACCTATGGGATCGTATTAGGCTCAAAGGAGGTTTCAGCATGATGTAAACTAGACTACAGATAGTTCGCAAGCAAACATGTCTGATTAGAAATGTCTAGACGTTTCTATTTAGCACTGAAGTCATCAGAAAATGTTGGGCAAAATTTATCATAATAAAACAGTTCGGAAAGGTGGATATTGACCAAACCCGTATCGTTCCTGTATCGCTTGAAGGTCAGAAGGCAATGTAGAGTTGCTATGGACACAGGCGTTATAGTGAAGTAAGTAGCAAAAGATCTACCTCGTAGAAAGCCAGGTAGCCCGCCTCGCCGGTGAACTGCCCGGCCGCACCGCCGCCGCTGGCCGGGGCGCGGAGACCGTTACTCCCGCTGGTCCTGAAGGATCGCCCGTACGTGCCGATGCCGAGGTTCAGTTTCTCCGCAGGAGCGCCTCTAGCGATCCACGTCTCCACTGCAAATTCCTGCGTCCAGAGTGAAAGTTATTTCCCTCATCCATTTGTTCGTTTTCTCTTTCCTTCATACATACATATTATTACGCCCAAGTATGAATGCAACCATACATATAGTATTATATACATATATGCATTACATACACTGTAAGCACACACATACGCACATACAAATACAAATACACACGCACGCACACACACACACACACACACAAACATACTCTTCCCTCATACATACATACATGCATATATAAATGTATACAATTATACATGTACACACACGCACACACACAAATACATCCTTTCTTTCTTCTTCCTTTTTTTCCGTCCTTCAAATCCCTCTTTGATTCCTCTTATTTAGTTAACTTTCTTCTTTTCTTCATTTCCTCGAATTTCTTCCAACATATATAGCTGTACATACATTAGATACATACATACATACATACAAACATACATACATACATACGTACATACAGACGTACCACGTTGAGTTTCGCGGCGTCCCCCGTCTCGGCTCCTGCCGGGTACAGCGGGGCGTTAAACCCGGTCACGGGGTCCCACGAACCATGCAGGTCATAGGTCATCAGGTTGATGAAGTCCAGTTCACTGAAATAAAACCAAATGTCAATTTTTGTAAAAAAGAATGTTTTCTAAATTTTGCGGACCAGCAAAACACACACATGCATAACATATTGTTTTGCATTTTGAAAAGGCAGTGAAATCCATGATTTAAAATTGGCTTGCTAGGCCCTTTTTTAATTGTAATACGATATTATAGATTTGATTATGCTAGCCTTTACTATATAGTAGTCACAGAGAAGTAAAACTTAAAGACTTTTTCGACTTCTTCAATTTCAAACGTGAATAAATACTTACTTAGCTATCGCCATGACGTCATATCCGTTGTGTATTTTATCTTCCCCTGCAGGGACGGCAGCGGTCAGCAGGAGGCGCGGCTTTCCACTGACAGCGGCCTCGTTCTCAAATTCCTCCATCGTCTCCTGTACGTGGAGTGACATCACGCACGATGTTGGTGGATGTATGTTAGATGTCAAATTCTATATACTATGTTGTTAACGCCACATGCTACATACAGTTTTGTACACGACTTAGTATGCAGTGACATCTTATAAATGACTTGCTGACTTCAATCAGAGCTCCCATACAATATATTCCATACAATACGTCCCAATTCAAAATTGGGACATAATGCCGAAAAAGTCCAACCCAAAAGCCTGCTGAGGAGTTTAATATATTCAACGTTACAGCATGAAGTTTCAATCTACAAATGTACCATGTATGTGTATGGATATATTCAATTGATTCATTATGTTCATAGATTTGTTAGGACTTTAAACATGTAACTTGTATCTTGTTTGCTTTACCCTGACCTCCTCCCTCATGGCATCAATAAAAAGCGGTCAGCTGTCCGGTTTGAATAGCTCGTAAATAAACAAAGGATCAACTCAACGAACAAACAATTATCAAATCCGGACGTTCTGCTGAAGTACGTATAAAAACCACCATGAAGATCAAATCTAATCATTTCCAGTTTTGTCACACCCTACATGTACATACAAAATGTATCAATCCAATCCATCGAACCGATCCAATTTAGGTATCTCGCGATCGACGACACACATGTACACATGTACACAGACAGACAGGCAAACACAGACAGACACACACGCAAACAAACAAACATACAAAATATAACATACAATTTTTCACGGAGGTACACAAATGACTGTGGGAAAAAGAAAAACAGCCTACCTCTATAAGTGCGGTGAACCTCTGTTTGTCCTCGGGAGGGCTGCCTCGGGCGGCAGGGTACTCCCAGTCCAGGTCAAGGCCGTCGAAGTTGCGGCTCCGCAGAAAGTCGATAGAGGTCGTGATGAACTTGCGCCTGTTCGCCTCCGTGGCCACCATGGCGGTGAACGGTGCAGAACCCATGTTCCACCCTCCCACGGCCAGGAGAGTTTTCACTTCTGGGTTTTCTCTCTTTGGTAAAATGGTGATATAAATGGCAACGTTGGGTAAGGGCACGACATTTTGGTGAAAAGTCGGTGAATGAGTGAAATGACTGAAACATTTTTTTTGTAATGGTTCGATCCCTCTCACTACCTTCAGCATTAACCTTCAACACTGTACATCACAATATATAAATGGAGGTGCCAAATGTGTCGTCTTAAAAGTGTGTTTCAAAGCTTGAGACACAGATGTTATTAGCTATGTTCGTTTACATTTTGGTAGTTAGTGGTGGTGCCATAAACTAAGTGCGCCTGAAATTTGGCATTTTTAGCACCAAGCCAGAATGTCAGAAATGTGAGATAAATACACAAATATGTTGAAACATGGAAGTAAATTTCAATCACATAAGATTTTTATTCATATAAGAAATTTTAACTTCTGGTGCAAAAATGTTGCATAATGCTCTTTTAGGCCATGTTGATTTGATTATATGGATGACATCCTCCGGGAGCCCCAAAACTGATGCGCGCGTGCGAATAAAAAAAAGTTTTGAAAAAAAAAAATTGTTTTCATTATGAAATGTACGTGGTTTTGAAGGTTTAACAAATGGCACAGAATATATGTTTTGGCGAATAATCTAGTCTTCGAGTTCATTTGTTAATAATTTCGTCTTTTTTCGTTTGATTTTGGCATTCTACGACATTGGTATGGTTTTTTTGTAACTAAAGGTATATTTTTGCTCATTTTGCAACTGTTTTGTACAATTTACAGTATGGTTGAAAACTTTTTTTTTTTTGAAACGGCCGAAAATTCATGCGCGCGCGGATGTCATCCATATAATCAAATCAACATGGCCTTAACATAAAAAAAAGTATAAAAGTATAGTGGACGGGGATCCTTACCTTTACGTGCTCGTTGAACCTTTCGTACATCCCCTTGGACCAGGAGGTGGAGTCGTCGTTCCACTCGAACGGTGCGAGTTGGTGGTTCACCAGCTTAGCGAAGGAGTAGATGATGTGTGTGCACAGGGTGGCGTCGATATCCTCCGGGTAGAACTTACCCATACCGTTACGGTACTGGGACCAGTTGGTGTGGTAACACACACGGCGGTAGGTCTTCGCTGTAGGGGAACAAGGAATTAACTGTGAAGTACTTGGAGTTATGATTTTCTTGTTTCTTTCATTGTTTTGTAATGTAGCTTCTCAACTGGGAACATCAAGACGTGCTATTTCCTCTCATTCCTTGTTAAGAGTGTTGTAAAGTTGGTGTGGTATACCGGTAACACACACGGCGGTAGGTCTTCGCTAAAAAGGAATTTCAAACAAGAAATTAACTGTGAAGTACTTGACGTTGTTACGATTTTCTTGTTTTATTCATTTGTGTGAGTTTAGCTTCTCAGATGTGTATATTCAAGTGCTATTTCTTCTCATTACTTGTTAAGGGACCAGTTGGTGTGGTAACACACACGGCGGTAGGTCTTCGCTAAAAAGAAAACAAGAAATCAACTGTGAAGTACTTGGAGTTGTTATTATGTTATTCATCTTTCGTCTCCTTTTATCCACGTTCAAACAGAGGTTTACCCTTGATTTGTCATACAATATAAGCTAAAATTAACGGTCACATAATGATATCCACTTCTTTTTCTTCCGTTGATGTCCATCTGCCGATATGTTGGTAATTATTGACATGTTAAGTAATAGTAAGGGTGGGTCCAAATAAAAAAGAGAAATACTACTAGTAGTATGCTACGTTTACGCGGATTAATCTTCCATTCTATTACTTTCTTAAAGTTAGGCCATGTTGATTCGATTATATGGATGATATCCTCTGGGAACCCAAAAACTGAGGCGAGCGTGCGAATAAAAAATGCTAGGCAAAAGTTTGGTAGGGCGAATAACAATAAACTCTTCATTTTCATTTCTTTACATTTTCTTCCTATCTTAATAAGATTACTAGTAATAAAGGTTAATCAAATTAATATTCCTACCTGGTGGCGTGATGCCCCACATCTGATAGAACAGTTCATCTGAAGGCCGGCGGCGTTCTCTGTGGAGAGGGTCTGACGTCACTAGGGCCACGCCTAGCAACGTGATGACGACAGCAGCGATAAGAAGGCACCTCATGGTTCCTACCTGACTCGTAGACAACCTGTGAAGAAAACAAAAAATGCAACAAAATGGAAATTGTGTCTTTTTTTTTATAAATGAATCTTGAGAGCAGAGTCAGCAGACAATGTTGAGGGCTGACGATTAAACAAACGACAAAAGCCTTCATACAATCAGAAGGCACGTGTGTAATACGTCCATAAAAGACCCCCGAAGCCTGCTACATTGCATTAATTGATTTATTTAAATTGTAACAGTAAAATACAAGTGGAACAAAGGCAGCAGATGCTGATGTTGTGTACCACACATAGAACAAATACAACACAGACAGTAATCATTTTCACTTGAGTTAAGTAAGGAAAGTCGTGTTAAGTGCCTTTCCCAAGGGCGCAAGATCGGCAGCATGTCAGGACTCGAACCCAGGACCTATTGGTTACGAGTCGAACATTCTGTTATGCCACACAACCCGACGGTCATTGTATTAGACCAAGGACTAAGAAACTGGTTGGGCCTCGGTTTTCTAATCTCTAAGCGGGTGTGATTGTCACTAACATGGTATTTTATGCGTGGTTTCGCTACGTTTAGTGCTTTTATCTAGGAGCGCACCTTTTTAAGCCTTTGCCTCCTTTTCTACAGACGTTTTAAATGTTGCAAAAACACAACGTAGTCGATCGGTGCACTGTGCGGACGCAGAGCCACCGCTGGCCGGGGCGCGGAGCCCGTTACACAGTCGGATCTTTATTTTATTTTTTTTTTCATATTCCGAAACATGTAATCACAAGACGTGGTGACGGCACACTCAAGTTTCTTCAACTTATATTAATGCCGCCACCAGTACAGTACAATACTCATTTACACCTGAGCGAAGTGAGGAAAGTCGTATAAAGTGCCTTTCCCAAGGACACAAGATCGGTGGCATGCCAGGACTCGAACCCGGGGCCTCTGGTTCCGAGTCGAGAACGCTGCCGCTACGCCATACGACCCCGCGTTATTTTTGCTTAAAGATCAGTGCTATCCCGCATCAGACTAGTCAGCCACCAAAGCAAACCACACCCATCATTATCATAAGTTACCAAAATAGTTTCTAAGATAGATATCAAAGCCACCCTTTGATGCGTGATCATAATGTATCAAAGATCCTTGCCGCTTGAGACAAATGGGTTTGGTTATTTGAGTTTGAATATTCGCAATAGTTAGGTTCATTTTCCTATTATATTTTACACCTAAACGACTGCTAGAGCGTAAAAATGTGAACAAGAGTCCGTAAGACATCCTTCGTTAAGTATAGTAACTTTTGTCTTTACGTTGTAGCTAAGGTGTTTGGTACCCTCTTGTTACTACATGCCAATTTTCAGATTCTAAGATCAAAACTCTCCAACGGACTTGATAAACTGTGTATCAAGTCACTGTAAAGTTATTGTAACCCACTGTCTATGTTTATGTCAAATATGCAACCAAGAAACATGGCCATGCCTACAAATCGACAAATCCCGGATTCAGAAGTCGAACGGGCCTAGATCAAACTTCTTTTCAACAAGAGTGACCCCAGTCTGGAATAGACAGTAGTTCAGTCAATTAGGCCACACCGATTAAATTTAATGGATGCCATCTACGCGCGCATTGATTTTCGCCTGTTCTCAAAAAAAGAAAAGAAAAAAAGATCACGTCCACCGAGGCTCTGGCCTGGCTCTAGGCCTGGGTAGTCCATGGTAGTTGCCGACAGTACGGAGTCAGAAAACCAGGCTATCGAAGCTCAACGACTCAAGAACTTGGTACATACGTAGAGTGACGATTCATAAATTGTTGTATGCGTACGTCGCTATGTACTACCGCAAATTCACAATATCAGCTGTGTATTCCTGTGGTTTAGCAGCCTTTTTATTTTTGGCCTGAATTTTTTTTTATTCGCCCGCGCGCACTAGTTTGTGAGTCTTTAGAGGATGTCATCCAAAAAATTAAGTCGGTGTGGCCTTAATGTCTCCAAGGCCAAACTGGCTGTAGAATGGAAAAACGCTCGGATCATTATGGCTACAACTATACTGAACTGCCAATACTGTAAAACTACATGGGCGGTCTCATTACCCTGGGAAAGGCTACCGATAGACCAGAAGTCAAGTAAATATTCAGGTGAAGATAAAAAAAAATCTTGATTTTTTCATATGTCCGGTATAAGGATGACCCAGCCCCGTGGGTGTCCACTGTCCGGTCTCTCAGCTGTGTTTATTACACAAATAGGAGTATCTTAGAAATTTGACCTCTTTGTTTCATCCAATTCGGACGTTCTGCATCAATAGAGACCGGACATGCAGAAACATTCAAACAGAGCAAGAGGTGGAAAAGGCATGGGACTGAATTGCGGATTTTCTTTTTTGTTTGTGTCACAGTGTTAATTCTGTGGCCTGTGTGGTCAGTGGTCACTGGGGCAATGATAGGTACAGGTGCTGTAAAGAGTATCGGTGTCCTTCTTCTTATCTGTATAGCCAGTATAACTGCCTTTTGGCATAGCGCGTTTCTGTCTTGTAAACGGCCGTTGCCATTTGGTTTTTAATAAATGATAATAATGTTTTTATTGATCAAACAGTACCCATGCAGTCGCAGCCTTTATGCGGCTGAATTGATGCAGGGTATCACATAATAATTAATACAAATCACAACAATCAAATAACACACATTATATATACATATATCTGTCGCAAGGGTCTGTGCGGCTGCCGTTTGGCGCCACAAGTTGACCTCAATACGACTGTCCCCAAACGAAGTTACATGTAGGTACCCTGACAACCGAAGTTAGGTGCACTTCACTCATACCCAGGTGGAGTGAGCAAAGTTGTGTAAAGGGCCTTTCCCAAGGACGCAACGTCGGGGCGCATGTCCAGACACGTCCCGGGTACAACTCGGGATCGAACCCAGGTCTTCCCGGTTCATAGTCTAACGCTCTACCACTACGCCACCCGACGCCAGGACAAACAGTTTGAACCAGTCGATGTAATATCGCAAAATGGCCGATGCCATGTCCGAGTGTTTACTAGTACTTTTATCAGGGGCAAAAAAAAAGATTAAAGCGTACAAAAACTAACATTTAAATTGTAAATGTACGGCAACATCGTATTTAAGTTATCAGTAAAAAAGACAGAGCATAAGCTCGGATTGAAACCCGGGACGAAAAACCCAACCCTAAAACCCTAATCCAATAAGCTACAAAACATCACTGTGTTGACAGCGCGTCCTAATACACTTAAAGTTTGCCGTTCTGCGAAACGGGAACGACTGTTTCAAATGAAAACGACCGTATGAGATGGAAGTTTAGCTTCGGCGTAATATCCCTGCTCGGCAGGCAGGCGGCGCGGCGGCAGCTGGTTACTAGATATATTACAGCGGATGACCTTGCCACGTCAACTTTGCACATCTAATCGCAAGTTTAGTTTAAAGTTGTCTAATAGGATCCATTAGTGGCAGCGAGTTCCACTTTACACGCATAGTTCTAGGAAAAAACACAGCTTTAAACACCTCAATCTATCTTTGACAACACTTAAAAGTGAAGTGTCTTCGCATCACGATTTGGCGCAACACACTAGAGTTATCTTTGGTGGATCTCAATTTTTTTTCCGAAATAAGATGTACGAACTTCAGTTGTTTATTCTGATCATGGTGTCTGATTAGGTGGCAAGGATGGATTGAGAAAAGAAATTTCTTTTTCCTCCCATTCGTAATCGCAACCACACACAGAACCAGTACTTCAACTGGCCCCAGCAGCGAAGGGGTTATATGATTGTTATTACAGAACCACTTCATTGCTTAGCCCAACCGCGAATAAGTGGTTCTGCTAGAACACCTACCTGGCGACCTCGCATTGTTACAACACATTCCCTGTTTTATATTGGATCCATTCTATCACAAATGGTGGAAGCAAAGGACCTGCCAACCACCACCAAAATAATGTCTAACTCTTAGTCAGTTTACTTAGTACTTTATCCCTTTAGGGTGTCGTGAAGACGCACAGTCTAAGTTCGCAACAAACCGACAAAAATGGTAAGAGCCAGTAAAACTGTATAGAATCCTGGCCAAAAGCTGACCTCTCTTTCTTAGAGTAAGACGAAGTTGAGACCCCAAATTGGACCCAAATTAACAAAACCCAGAGACCGACTTACCGTACCTGGCACGAAGTCTTGCTTGCTTGGGTCTGGGTAACTCGTTGTGCACTCTACGGGGAAGTTGTCTCTTGGCACCGGCTCCAACCGCCCAAAGGTCGCTCTGTGGTCCCGGCGGGACGCCAGGCTATTTAAGGAGCCCGCACGGTGTTTATTTGTTCTGTGGTGACGTCAGGTGAGCGCCAGGACTCAGGGCAAACCTCTCAACAGCCGTGATGACGTCACGGCGAGCTGATATCCTGTGGCGTCTTGGAACAGCGCGTCGGCGTCAGAACGTACTGCGCCTGCGCTAAACCACTAAGGCCACAGCAAGTGATTTTTATGGATGACATCAGCGCGCATTAATTTTCGCCTGATTTGGGAAAAAAAAGTAATTTTGTTGCCCCCTGACAGTGGTCAACATGCCGAAAATACGTCTGTTGCCATGTCAGAACGTGAATGACAGATAACTATGCAGACAGGAGACAAGAAAAGACTATGATTCAATGTTTTATTTTTTACTTTGATGCAATGATATGCGCTGGCTGTGTATATGTGATTCCTCACTGAATCAAAACCATTTGTACAATCATTGAGTGAAAATGTAGGAACCTTGTTATTTTCGCCCGCCCGCATTAGATTTGGAGTCTGCGGATGATGTCATCCATAAAATTTACTTGCTGTGTCCTAATGCATTGTTCATAGCACTTTGGCAAAATGTATAATCAACGGTCGTACAGTATTCAAATGTTGTGCTAGAAAAGAAAAGATATCGTCTGTAACAGGCAAAATTCTGATACGATATTGACCAAATATCCAACGAAAGTCGTTAAAAATTCGGCTTTCGCACAGGCGCAGTGCGTTCTGTGGACGTGCTTCTTGGAACTAGGACGGAGTAGATCACGTGACCCCGTACCAAGCGATTACAGATACATCGATGAGTCAGTTTGACGCCCCCATCCCGCCACTATTGTTCATGTATCACGACCCCAGTATATATAGACATACTGTCTGGTACAATGTGTCTACATTCGTGCCGGAGGGGTATACTATACACAGACCTACGTAATCAATTTGTCGTTATAGCAGCAGAAAATAACATTTCAAAACTTCCCTAAAGGGACTGTTCTTGGTGTTTGTTCTCCTACTATGAATAGAATTGACACACGGTAAAAATACTTGATACGAGGGTGGATCAAAAAGTTCTCGGCCTCACCTAGAAAATAAAGGGCAAACTCCTATTCTTTAGTATAACTGTATACTATGATGTCTTACATCACTGCACACAAAAATTCAAATTTCTATATTCATTAGTTAGCACGTGACGCCCCGTGAAAATGGGGCGGGTGAGGGCAAAATCACAAAATGGCCGCAACAGAAGCGTGTGCTGTGATCATGTATATCGATAAAAAGGGAATTCTCGTAAGGAAATCCATGAACACATGGTCAGGACACTTGGTGATGACTCTCCTTCTTATTCAACTATAAAGAAGTTGGTTGCTAGCTACAAGCGCTGCAAGGTGAGCACCAAAGATGAACATATGTCAGGATGCCACAAATCAGCACCATGGACAATCCAGTTGAGGCCATCCATCACATGGTAGTAAATGACAGATGTGAGACTGTCCAACATGTAGCAGAGTCTTTAGCCTGTGTTGTGGCTCTGTTCACAATGTTTTGTCAGACATCCTGGTGATGAGCAACCTGTCTGTAAGGTGGGTGCCTAGAATGTTTTCTGAACATCAGAAGTTAAACAAGCTGGACATTTCAAGGAACGAATTCAGTCCAATCCATGCAATTACCTCAAAACATTTTTCACCCAAGATGAGACATGGTTTCACCACTTTCACCCCAAATCAAAACAACAGAACAAACAATGAATGAAGAATGTTTCCCGGCCCCCAAGAAGTTTTATAGAGTTTCATCCGTTGACAGGGGTTTTGTCTCTGTTTTCTTGGACAGCAAGGGAGTAATCATGACTGAATACCTGTGAATAGGTTAAAACATCAATGGGGAGTACTATTTAACAGAATAGCAACAGTTGAGGACAACGGTCAAAGAGATAAGGAGAGGAAAGCACCTAGCTGGCGTGATGACAATGCACCTGTCCACACAGCACAGGGGTCAGTGACAGCAGCAAACGAATTTGGCTTTGAAGTCTAACCCCACCCTTCCAATTCACCTGACCTAGCACCCTCGGACTTCTACCTATTTCCTAAACTGAAGTTCCACTTACGTGGTCAACGTTTTTATGGTAATGATGACGTCATCAGTGCGGGTGAGCCCTATCTGGGGGCTCCAGATTCAACCTTCTTCCACAAGGGGAAAACAAACCCGGAACATCACTGGACCAAGTGCATTGCAGTTAGAGGGGACTATGTTGAAACATAGTGTAAGAAATTTTTTTCTGCCACGACGTTTTCTAGGTGAGGCCGAGAACTTTTTGATCCACCCTCGTACACGCAACCTGTACAGTGTAAGGTTTGACAGTATTGGGTGACTTGGCAAAGTCCAAAGGCGTTGTGTCCTGATCCATATCGTCTTGACGTTATCGTGTGGCCTAACAGTAGAATGTTCGTCTCAGAACCAAAAAGTCCAGGGTTCGAATCCTGCCATGACACGAGTCTTGTGCCCTTGGGAAAGGCACTTAACATGACTTTTCTGACTTCGCTTAGGCAAAAATGAGTATTATATTGTGCTCTGGGTTGTTAGCAGCATACAAATAAGTTGAAAAAAAAAACTTGAGTGCGCCGTCACTACGTTTTGTGACTACATTTTGGAATAATAATGAAAATAAAATCGTTCAGCATAATACTGCTCAGGCCATGCGCCAATTTTCTCTATTTTTGGAAGCCTGGTAGAAGCTTTAGAATTTGGATGGAAAGGCTGGCTGGGCACGAAACATTTGCCTCACCACTTATAAAGGTTAGGGTTAGGATCGGCACAGACAAAAGATGGCTTTTAAAGTATGTCTAAGAACATACTACTCACTACAATGACCTGTAGGTCTACTCTCCAAGCAGAGGTTTCGGTTTATTTTTAGCGTGTTTTTAGGCTTTCTTTATCGGGGTTTCTCTTTTTTTCCCACCGTTGAGTTTGGTGGGAAAAAAAATCAGTGCAAATGAGAAACACCGATAAAAAGCCTAAAAACACGCTAAAAATAACCCCAAACCAAAACCTCTGCTTGGAGAGTACTGTAGGTCGATAAACCAGCGAGATTTGCTTGTCACTAAATGGTAGATTTGTCGCCGAATAGTCACAGGTAAGTACACTGCAGGTAATGCGGGTTCATGGATAAGGCTTTAGCATGGGATTACGCATTGAAACTCGGATATCTATGGTGAAAAAAAGAATTGTCCAAGGAAGGGGGTTCATTCAACTAGAACCTTACTGATCCTAATCTGGATTACGTTTCCGATACGTCCATTAAAGAGATACCCGCGACAAAAGATCCTGAAGAAGAAGAAGGTAGAGTTATGACATGCACGCAAGCGTCCCTAACCCCCGCCCTTTGTAGTGTTGAAAGGGGCACCTGTTATAAGTGGAAGGCAACTATACATGTTTGTATGTACGAGTTACAAGCACTCACGTTGTTTACAGTACAGGAGATACAGGAAGGCTTCTTTACATGTGTCAGCGTGAAGTGGCTCAAAAGTTGGCCGACGTCCTAGAGAGGTATTAGCAGCAGGACAGCAGACACATTTGGCCTAGCTGGACTTTACAAGCGACTGGAAAGAGTAGAAATTTGTCAAATAGACAAATGACATGGTAAGATGTTGGTGAGCTAATAGAGTATAGTTTTGATTTTCGGGAGAGATATACTGTACTCTTAGCGGTCACCATCTCTCCTGGCATCTTACCTGTGCCAACAAAATCTACTGTTTCCAGTCGCTTCTGAAGCCTACAGTAGAGGCTGTAAAAATCACTTAATTTGACAGTTGATTTAAGCATATTTTACTTGGTGGGTTTCCCGATTTTCCCTCGTACTACTTCGAAAATGTCGAAGCCGAATACATAATAAACTGTGGATTTAAGAATAACGCGGAGGTTTCGTCACATCATGATTGGATACAGGTTCACTCCTTGCCCTAACCATGGCACCACAATCCCCTAGTGACGGCTGTAAGCCCGGTTATCCCAGTCTCCGATCAACAAACCAAACATTATTGGCACGACACAAAAGACTTTTGAGGAAACACCAGTACTGATTATGTATAGAGGGTTTACCAAAATCCACGTCCTTGAGGGAGCCTTAGAAACTGCTACTCTACAGGGTTCGGGTTGGGCTTTCAGAGAATCTAATAATTGTTGGGCGATGCCATAGCGACCGCAAGGACACGGAAACAAACTTAAATTACAAGAAATTCATCTTGAAACAAGTGCAAGAAGCTCACAGTTATATGAAGGGAAACAAAACGGAATAGCAAGCCATACAACTGTCAGTATAGGGTTATTAATCTTATTCAGAAAAGGGGCTATAAGAAGTAAGATTTTGTCGACTTCTCGTTGCAATTAGGTAGGGAAAAGTTACGCTGCAAGAAGGTTTTACATGGTTTGGGGGGGATGGTTAAACTGGCACGTAGGCCGGCGGTCGTCTGGTATTTCAGTTACGTCGTTCCCATTTTTGAAGAGTCATGGTGTTGTGGGGAAAAGTTCCCGTCACGACATCTCGCGTGAGGAGGAAATGTTTACGTCTGCCACATCGTTCATCTAGGGTGGGCTGTTATTGTATTCAGAACCGTGCACATCTAGTTCTATGCCTGGATAGGTTAGGGATAGGCTACTCTCCAAACAGAATTTTAAGCTTCCTTATTTCTATTTCTTTATCGCGCACTGTTTTTGTACTTGTGTATTTTCTAAATTTTTACTGTCTGGCAAATGGATACGATACTGTCTGGCAAATGGATACTGCCTGGCCGATTTGATGCTGCCTTTGCAGCCATTCAAAAAGATCTTGGGTTTTAGGGTTAGGCATGGTTCTAAATAGTCTCCACGTATCCAAGGTCATATATTTTTCACAACCACGGTTCTGGATACGCGTGAACTATTCAAAAGCAATTGTCTCTTAGCCACAAAGGGTTGCCCTTTAATAAACTCGCCACATATGTGAACTGAATCATGTCTGTTTTTTTGGCTCGCCAGGCTTGCTTGTGTGGCAACCGTGTTTTTGTGGCCGTAAACACAGTTACGCACACTCTATAATTACTGTTGCTGTGTAATACCCAAACACGTCTGTTTTGCCCTCAAGAAGTGGGAAACATCCGATGACATAGTGTCATAAATGGCCTTTCTCCGAATTGACAGGGACACTGGTTATCACTAAGACTGTTCCATTTTAGTGAACGGGGAGTACGGAACGTAACTGACAAAATCAAACAGACCTACATGCATGCTTTGACAAAGACTCCCCCACCAAAATTCTTCATAACATTTAACTATGAAATTAAAATGATTTATCTTCAAATGGTCATGCACCTATGCAAAATTTCAAGTAAAACATTATCATGGAATGGAACTGACCAGAAGATAAGGGCACATAATGACGTGATGTGTTGTTTGGTAGTGAGCAAAGTACAGTTTGGTAGTGTGGTATTTCTCCGGAAGTCGTGGTGCCTACACCTCCTGTATGTTATCTTTTTATGACGTCATCTGACTTTCCTGTTTTAACAGTTCATTTCTTCTTCTTCATCTTTTTTCAGTCTACAAGTCTGTTGCTGTTCTGCTTCGAAAATAGCCTCTATCAGGCTTCGGAAACGACAGGAGAGAGTCGAAATTTGGAATACATGAAAACATGCCAGGGGAGTTGGTACGCTAAGAAGTACATTTGCCGCGAATTACCATCCTCCTTCGCAGGGCTAAAATCCTCCGGTTCCCTTCCGGTTTTAGCCCTGCTATTTACCGCTGACAGTTTGACTTCTGGTGACGTCACCGCCAAACTGCTGTCAGCCAATCAGAGAATTTGCGCACCGAGCTTTGCGCAAAAACCGCAAAGGTCGCTGGGAACCTATTAGCCAATCAGGTTACATGTTGGGACAGGCCAAGATGGCGGCTATTACAGATACTAGAAGTTTCGTGCGAGCCGTGCAAGATTTATTTGGAGTCGAGCGGCTTCGTGAGCATCAGCAGTCGATGCTACGGGCGCTGCTTGATGGCAGAGACGTTTTTCTGAGTGTGCGGACAGGAGGAGGGAAGAGCCTGTGCTATATGGGCTTCCCAGCAGCGGCCAAAGCCCTGGCCAAAGCCGAGACAGAGTTAGGGCAAGCCCCCCGACATCTGATTGGTTTGTGCCAAATAAGGCAAGCTCATGAATTATTTATAAGTGACGTCACCAGAAGTCAAACTGTCAGCGGTAAATAGCAGGGCTAAAACCGGAAGGGAACCGGAGGATTTTAGCCCTGCGAAGGAGGATGCGAATTACTAGCGGCCTAACTTCCCTGGCATGATATTCATCTATTTGGTCGATTTCTATACCCTTTCAGGCCGCTTCCGAAGCCTGGTAGAGACCGTACTTCGACAATATTATATTATGCGACCTGTCAAACCATGGACCCCCCCCCACACACACACACACACCACACACACACTGGTAGTTTAGCCTTTGCAGTGAATTCAATCTTAGGCCACAGCAAGTAAATTTTATGGATGACATCCTCCACAGACTCCGAGCGGGCGAAAGAAAACAAGGCGAGCCGAAAAAAAAGGTTCCTACAATTAAAAATTTTGACTCAATCATTGTACAAATGGTTTTGATTCAGTGGGAACATCACATTATATACACACCCAGCATCACATATCACTGCATCAAAGTAAGAAACAAAACATTAAATCAGGGCCTTTTCTTGTCTCGTCTCTTCATATAGTTACCTGCCATCCACCTTCCGGCACGGCAACAGACATCTTTGCCGATTTTCGGCATGTTGGTCACTGTCAGAAGCCTTCAAGGCAACAAAATTTCTTGTGTTTTTTTTTCCAAAGTCAGGCGAAAATTGATGCGCGTGCTAATGCCATCGATAAAAATTACTTGCTGTGGCCTTATCGTAATTAGGGCAGCTCCATACCGTAGAGGTCCTTACGATCTCGATTGTTTCTATAACCCTCCCACTTAGAGACAGTCGGAAAATTCTTGTGCGCATTGTGCGGAAAAAATTCTTTGTTGGCTAGATCAGATGTCTATTTTGGGTGTTGTGTTTCGGTGCGACTCTCGCATTCGTATGACAGGTATGCAGCTAGAACATCGCTGGGAGGTCCTGTAAACAGGTCAGCAGAAAGGTCGAAAGGTCAAGCAAACAGTTACTTTGTGTCCACTTTGAAGCCGGTCGGTTAGTAGTGCGATAAGAAGAACAAACATAGTACGTAGAGTTGGTCATTACAGTGCAGGTAATCGGTGTACAATATATGCAGGATACATGTACATGTATGTAGGCTCGTCGTGTATTTACATTTCTTATACTTCTTCTTCTTCTTGTGTACTCTCTAACAACCCCTACTGGGGTATCACTGAGAGGGGGGGGGGTGCGACGGACTGTGCGGCCAGGAGTCCGGCCTTAAAGGCCTCCACTGTCTGGGCTTTTACTAACTGGCCCGGCAGCTTATTCCACTCATTGATTGTTCGTGGAAAAAAAAAGTCTGTTTTGACAGATATTGCTTGATATTTATGTTCATGACTTCCTCTGGTACGCCTATGGGCAGGTTTGAGATATTGTTCCATTTGAATATCAATATGTCCATATTATACATCTAAATAAAAAAAAATCGATTCGATCACAAAACGTTTTTCCTTATATCTTTCATTTGTATGATGACGAACAAGCAAAGTGAAGTCGAACACACAAACTAGATTATAGTACTTACCATAGCTTCTATGTGTTCATTTGTAAAGTCTTCTTTTTGTGACATGTGATAGCCAAGTGGGGCAATTATGTACAGTTAAGTCGATCGCATGCTAGATACATTCATAGGTAACAAAATGGCGGAATGTCATGGGTTTTGGTGGAAGTGAGCGCGATTCTTTCTGTCTGTCTGTATGTCTGTCTGTCTGTCTGAATGTCTATCTCTGTCTCTCTCTATCTCTGTCTATGTGTGTGTTCGTGTGCGTGTGTGTTTGTGTGTCTGTGTCTGAGAAACGACCATACCTCACGAGAGTCCTGTTTGTTTTTTCGGCTGGTGCCAATGAGGTCCAGGCTAAGTCAATATATGGTAGTCATGTAAACTTCGCTTGACAAATATCGATTAGAATGTAGCATGCTTGATCAGCAGCGACTGCCAAATGCCCTGTGTTTGCAGTGTTAATGACGCAACATGTGTTTGTATGGTGCGGCAAATATTTTTCAATGTCGTCTAAATGTTTGAATAATGTCGGAAATGATTCAATATATTAGAATGCACATCACATGGTACAATGGCCTCTTGAAGAAAATATCATAGAGCAATGGATTATATGTCACCTAAATTGTTTGGATTGTTGGCCAAATGGCATCATGACGTGTCCATGTATTACTAACGAAACGTTTTAAACAAGTTCCTAATACATTTTACATGGATACGTATTAATGGTATTTTTGCTCACACTTAAAACGACTTTGGCGCCGTACATTTTATTGTTTTAAAATGTTCCATTGTTACTTCAAGAGACTATTTTACCATTTGAGATGAATTCTCAATTATTGAATCATTTCCGACGTTATTCAAACATTTTATGCGACGTGCAAACAGATATTTGCGGGACCGAACAACTCAGTCCACATTTCCCGCTTTTGGGGGTTGGTCATCATGTCTTTACTTTTTCTATATTCGCATTCCGGTAGTGACTAGCTGAATATTTACATATTTGGTTGGAATGTGTGTGTGTGTGGGGGGGGGGGGTATCTAACAGGGTTTGTTTACTAGCACTTGGAAATTCCCAGAATGTCCACTTTCCCTGAATCTCCATGCAAAGGTTTAGAGATTGAACTGAACGATCTTATTGCTTTCCTGACTACCAGGTTCCTTTCACAGTCTAGGATGAGGGGTTAAAGAGGATGAGCAATACAAAACCATTATAACCCTTTGTCGTTACCGCCATTTTCTATTCAGAGGGGGGGGGGGGGCAAAGGGCTTTACCAGACTCACGAGGCAGCTACATCATTATTATCCAATGTTTTTAAGACAGTTTTTTTTATTATTACTGTGTGAAAATAGCTGGATGATGTTTGTGTAAGTTTCACACTTTAATAAATGATCTCTGTCAGTCACTATGATTATATGTCTTCTCCCTCTTCTGTGTGTTTTATCGGTGTGTGGGCGGGGGAGGGGGGCAACTTGCTCCTCAAATCATTATCATTTTATCAAAAGCACCCCTTTGTCCTCTGTCTAACTCCCATCCATTATACGACAAGTCTCTCAATCAGGCCAGGAAATACAGAACAGCGATAACTCAAAACAAAGAATATTTCATATTCTAAGCAAATCTGTAGTTGTTGCTTCTTTTACCGTCAATTGTGTAAATAATAATGGTTTCCGTATCTATGGTCTGATTCAGATCATGCCTATGTCCTCTCTGCTATCCTATACCCAAAGAAAGATATCTTGCAAGATAGAATTGAAGCCACACATTGTATTTTATTCTTGGATGTTTCAAGATGATACATTTCTGAAGATCTTTTGTGCCTTGGTATTGATGCCATGTTGTTCGAGGCATCTTACTTATATATGTGTACACATACAGATAGTGTGTCCTTTGATTGACAACATATTTCAAGAACTGACAGATGGTTGATGTAAGATAAAACTGACAAGCTGACGTGGTGGAAAAATCAGTCAATAAAATCAAAGGTTAAAATACATATCCGTCTTCCCCATGATGTTACCGGAGGGTTCCATGTGTGCGAACATGTTGTAGCTTCATTATTACCTACACACTATTTCAATAAAAGAGCATGATAAAAAATTGTAACTTGAATCATGACGATCTAGAATTGACAAACCCCGGAGACAATTTGGTGGTATATTAGGGGTTATGTTGCACAGGACAATTGCAGTATAGTATTGCAAAATATGGATTAGATATTTGTTTTAGAACGAACTTTAGGTCGAACAGGTTTGGTGTTCAATTGGAAATGTGCAGGTATCTTTATGTCTACCCGCAGTTACCCTACACTGGTCCTGTTGTACAAATTGATTTTCTAACTTGTCTTACAAAGTGCAAAAGTTCTGCAATGCAACAAACAAAAGATGGTTCCAGAAACACAATAAAGTGCTCAGTTCAGGTGTCTCCTAGGCGATGAACAAGACTGATCGCCAGGTGCCTACTTGATCTAAAATAAGCCATATAAGGTATTAAAATAGCACTTAGTATATAATTAAAGAGTTGTAGCTCTGTGAGGAGAACCATTCTGATGGATTCGATCATCTTACAACAAACCGGTGTTTAACACTTTAACTCAACCACATTGTACTTCTCTTGTCGTTAGTGCATTAACGTTTCTTATGAAATTGAATATAAAAAATAAGACAGTCTGTAAAAATCAGTTTGACTTCCAACTGAAGACAGATGTTACACACTGCATAATTACAGGGCTGTCACTTATCATACCTATACCTTACAAGCCGCAAAATTGCAAGCAAACCTTAACATTTAAAATCTTAATCATTGTGACTTCTTTCAAAAGCATTGGAGTTAGCCTACCAAAAACAATGGAGGTTACCTACCAAAGCTAAACAATGTGTAGATGTCAAACATTTTTTTTCATCACAAGGTCCTTACTTGTTCCTAACTTTATGCTTATCGTTTCCTAATAGCACAGCTCAGATAAACTTAATCTTTGTGACGGTAAATGTCTTCAAAGGCATTGGAGGTAAACCACCAACACTGAACAATATGTAGGTGTCAACTAATTGCTCTTTTTTTTCATCACAAGGTCCTTACTTGTTGTAACTATATTCTTATCGTTTCCTAATAGCACGGCTTGAAAAACTTAATCGTTGTGATGGTACACTTTCTATAGTATTGGAGGATTCATTATGTTATTGACCAACCAATGTTAACCGATGTTAGATGTTGAAATTGGTTTTTTCATCACAAGGTCCTTACTTGTTGTGACTCTATGCTTATCGTTTCCTAATAGCGCGGCGTAAAAACTTAATCTTTGTGATGGCAAAGCGTCTGAAAAGGTATTGGAGGCAAACCAATAGAGCTAAACAATTTGTAGGTGTTAAACAATTGTGTTTTTTCATCACAAGGTCCTTACTTGATTAACTATATACCTATCGTTTCCTAATAGCGCAGCTTAGAAACTTAATCTTTGTGATGGTACAATGTATTTAAAGCATTGGAGGTTTTTCTTGATGTTAGTGAAATACCAATGCTAAGCAATATAAGATGTTTTTTTTCACATCACAAGGTTCTTACTTCTTCTGACAAATTCTTGTCATTCATAAATCTTAATCTCTGTGATGGTACGATTTCGAAAAGGCATTGGAGGTTTCCGTGATGTTAGTGACCTACCAATGCTAAATGATGTAAGGCCTAGGAAACAAATGTTGTGTTTCCTGTTTCAGTTCTGGAAAAATTAGGGTCGGTAGGAAGGGATTATCTTTTTTTGTTCTTTTTTAGACTTATATCTATAAACAGTGATATCTATAAACGGGTCCAACTTATACAATACAGTTTAACAAATTAAAACCTGCATGATATTCTTTTTTTTTTAATGTCAATATTTAAAAACCAATTGTACAATGTTTTTAATCAGCTGTCAGATCATGGGGCTAGAAAAGGTTGATCAGCTCGAAAATTTATGTCCCTTTCAAGGATCCACCCCCCCCCCCAAAAAAAAGTCTAGGGTCGGCAGGTTTTTCTATGGTCGGTAGGGAAACAGGAAGCGTAACATTTTTTCCTATGCCTAAAATATGTTTAAGAGTTGTTATCTAATCCTGACTACATGCCTATCTTTCCTAATGGCACAGCTTTGAACTTTACACCCAGAAAGTAAGATTCACCAATAACAATGATAATAGACATTGTGTTGCAGAAAAACTATCATCAAAGTCCTACTGCTCAAGTCCTCACAGAAAAATTATTAAAGTATTTACATCAACGAGAGCAAGCTGCCCGTTTTGATTGCCATGGTATACCACTAAAAACTCGGAAATCCATTGCACACACCAAAAGAGCAAATTAAACGACGAATGTTATTATATACTATCCGTATTGTTAGCAAAGCTCAAACGGTTTGAGCTAGACTAAGTAATAAGTTCTAAGCCTGGCCTGCTACGAGTGCAACATAGCGTAAAACAAAAAAAGAAAAATGCCTACCACAGAAGTCAATGAAATCAATTGCTAGGTAAACATTCTAGCCATTCTACTTAGTTTTAGCAATTCCTCCCCCAGTTTTAAAGGAATAGTATATGAATCCGTAACTAGTACACTCAGTAGATTGACACCAAAGCCACTTGCATAGTATTTGCAGTTCCAAAGTCAGCTACACTAAGTTTCGACCACAGTACCTCTCTATCATGTTATAAACCACCAACTAATCTCTGTCTACTTTTATTAAGTTGTATAAAGATACAGATGTTGATTAAAACAATGGAAAAGCCTAGAAACATACAGATGCTGATGAAAACGGTGCAGAGCTGGTAAAGCCTAGATGGTGTTGACTCGGTTTCTGTAGTGGATGATGCATCTGTGTATTCACTTGGTCCTCTTCCCTCTAGACTGAGTGCAGTGTGCAAAAAAAGACTTTTCAACAGAATACCATATGAATAATCAATACGCAAACTTTTTTGTATACAAGTCAGCAGGGGGGTTGTTCAAGGAAAGTTAACAACATGCAATTTAGGTTTAGCATTTAGATATGAATAATTTTAGTGATATGCTTGAAAGTAACATGAACTTTTACAGCACCGTTGCACTTTTAGAAACACTGTTTAATACTATACAAGTAATTCCACACAAACCAATTTACCACTTTCGTAGACCCCAGGCCTACTACGACTACGAGTCCGACGCTATGAAATTGGACTGCCAAATTTTTTTCATAATTTTTTTCAATACTTTCCGTTTTAAGGTTCAGAGTTATAGCAGCCAATGATTTAAACAAATTCCCGCGCCTGTGGGACCCATCACTTTCGGGTTCCAGAGATCGCAGCTAGAAGGATAATCACATCATCGTATCGGAGTGGCCGTTGAGTCCATCACCATGTGAGAAATTCCTCGACCAAAGGCCAGCATTAGTACGGTAATAATCATAAGAACATATCAAACAATTTCCCCCTGTATTATTTTGCTTGATATTTGGCAATTGATCGCCGGTTACTAACAGCAACAGTCCCCTCAATTTTTTGTATTTTTCCTAGCGGTGCGAGATACTTTATGCTTGTTCTCCACCGCCACATACGCTGTTTTTTATCAGTGCGTCCTGGTCATCATTGGAGAGATTTTTCTTGCACTTTGCATGACAAAGTACCAATTCCAAACCGGGGCCCGGTCGGCTGTTTCGATTGACAAAAAATCAACAATTTATATCAATAATACACGCAGACAGTTCCCATTATTATTTTTTTTCAACTTCGGTGTGCTTTGTTGCCTTTTATATAATACTTTTTGTTTCATAAGACTGCCCGGCCGGGCCCCGGTTTGGAAATGGGACCTCATCATTAAAACTATATCTTAACTGTGGTAAAGTATTTCACACTAAAACCAATTAGAGGTAAAACGTTCGAAAAGTCGATTCAGTACTCACCATCGACATGTAAGAACATCTGCCAGTTAGCCTCAGCGTTATCCTTTGATAAATGGCAACCGTTACTGGGACAGGGAAAACGATAGTATTTCCCAGTATAAACATTGAATACCTCAACCTGGAAAAAATATATCAAAATGAAGATATAAGATATTAATTCAAAACTAGAAAGGCCAACATTTGCTTGGGAGGCAAATGCAGCATATTTCAGTCCATCTCCCTTCCACGCAAAAGTGGACTATTCTAAACTTTTGATTGTAGATGACGTAATGATCTTACGCACATAAAATTGAATGTGTGGGTCATTGCGCACGACTCACGTGCAACGTGACCCCAGGTAACCCGCAGTGTTCGATGTGTTCGAGCAGTGTTCGATGGTCAACGGCAGATGGAACGGGCCATTCTTTAGACTGAACGTGGAACGGGTATAGCACCTTTGTCCCTTTTTTGGCTGAAAATAGCCATTAAAGTCCCCCAAATGAGTCATTTGGAAGCGGTGTATGCCAAATATGTGACTGCTATTCTGTAGACACACGTTCAAGGTACCCTTATACCGAATTTCAGATCATTTGGTTGTAATACCAGGGCTCAGGATCCAAACATCCATTTTTTATCAAAAAAAGGCCTAAAAAAACCTTCATAAAATTTTTTAAAACGCATGTATCAGAAAAATGAAAAAAAGAGCCTGGGGGTATTGGCCCACTCTACATCCATGCCAAATTGACTAAACAATGACAGAGTTAAATCCATTTGACTGTGTGGCAGGAGAAGGAGAAGGAGGAGGAGAAGAAATGTGAGAGAGCACAATATATTTCATCCATACCATATTGTATGGACTGTAATATAACTAGACAGAGATGAGTGAACTGACAAATTAGTAAATAGTATATATGAGCTTACCCAGTCTAGTATGAGTTCGTCGTTTCCTGAAATTTGAAGTCGAATCACTGTCGGATCACCAAAGTCGGGAGCGGGAAAGGGATGTTCGTATTCGGTCCTTTGGTGTTGTGCACGTAAAACGGATTAAAAGAAATAGGTTACAGCTTTGCATCACGTGGTATCAACATGCAAAAAGTAACTCACTCATTCTATTGTCACCAAATTATGTAATCAAGTAACCAGGTAATCAAGTTGGTTAAAAAACACACATGCCTCATCGAGAGCATGTTAAAAAAAAGACGAAATATCAAATCGAGAGCAGCTATATGTACGAGCTGAACGTATCTTATGTTACCTACCCGTCTTCTGTATGTCCAGAAAAAACCATTGTCTTGCAGACATTATCACAAACGTCAGAATATATGCTAACTGTCAGAGAATCGGAACTTTTTGAATCTCTAGTAGCGCTGGTCCTGAGTGTTAGGGTGTGATGCGCTGTTAAAGAAAAATAACAGTCAAATCTTGTACGTTGACCACCTCCTAAGTCGACCATCTTTCTCGGTCCCTTGAAATTTTCCCATAGACTCATGCATTTAGGGCGATCACATATGTATAATATTAAGCCTCTGTCACACATTTACGACCTCCCTAATATTTTTTTCCGAATACCAACCGACCAGGTTTGGCTGATGTTCGGGAGACCAAATTGAAAAATCGAAACGAATTTTAGTTAAATTTGAGTCACTTTTGACCCCTGAACACGTCCCGGACACTGCTGACATAATCACGAATAGTTAACCTGGTGTTCTGCTGACTTATAATGACAACCGAACATTAGCCAACGTAGATCGAATCTCATGACCGCCCCTGAATGTTTATACATTTAGGCCAGCGCAACTGGATACTAGCCAAATTCGACGAACACTAGCCGCGACCCAGTCGACTTGGCCATGATGTTGCTAGATATTTGATCGCCGGTTATAGAAAGCAGCGGTCCCTTTCCTGCATTTTTGTATATTACGTAGCGCTGCGAGCGACAAGAATGGTCGTTCTCCACCGTCACATACATTGACTCCATACCCAGCGTTACAGTGATAAGTAATCTACTTCTTGAACGTAAATAATAATTATCATATGGCAATAATAGCTGTAACCGCTGAAACTGTTTCACTGAGGATGAACCAGCTCTGATGTCTCTTCAACATGTCATTTCTTTTTAAATTGTAGTCCCTTCTTAATTCGTTTAAGTCAACATCAGACTAATTTCCTTTTGCAATTTAGAACAAAAATCAAACTTAACTTACCCAAGCCAAAACGGGGAAAAGCGGAAGTTAAAATGCAAGTTGATTCAGTACTTACCATCAACGTCTAAGACTACCTGTTGGTCACCCTCTTTGGGATCAGTTGATAAGCGGCAACCATTAGAGGGACAGCTAAAATGGTAGAATTTCTTAGTCTCACCATTGTATACTTCAACCTGGAAAGAAAAAGATGAGAACATCAACAAAGACATTACAAACAATATAAAAATTAGCCAAAAATGAGTGTAACGGCAAGTAAGTGGATTATATATGAGCTTACCCAGTCTAGAATGAGCTGGTCATCTCCTGAAGTTGTAAGTGAAATCATCGTGGGATCACCAAAATCGGAAGCGCCAAAGGAATGTTTGTACTCGGTCCTTTGATGTTGCACATGTGAAAAAAATCAAAGAAAGAATAGAATCAAAGATTGAAACACTCATGTAAAGGGCTACGGGTTTATGTCTTTATGGTAGCAAAATGCTTAAGTAACTCATTCATCTCAGTGTTACTAAATCACATAAGAGATTAAATCAAATACTCATTATATGGAGGGTAAACAAGACACTTCAAGTTGGTTTTAAATAATCATACTCGTCTTATCAATCTTTAGAATTTTCTGTTACAAAGCATTAAATTGAGTTAACATAGTGAATCTTTGGGACCCCGGGGATCGAAGTAATCAATTAGCTGCCAGATCTCCGACCTCTGTCACCACACGGTCAGGCCTACACACGGCCTCAGTCTGTTGCCACACCGCCAGGGGCAGGTAATCAAACAGCTATGTAGGGGTTACAGGTATCTTATATTACCTACCCGGCTTGTGCTAATCCATCTATAGCAGTTGTTGCGCAGACATCATCACAAACGTCAGAAAATATCTCAACTGTCAAACGATCACCACTTTGAGAGTCATGGGTAGGGCTGGTCTTGATCGTTACGGTGTCATATGATATCGCTGTTTGATAAAACAACAAACAGTCAGATCTTACACGTTGCCCACCTCCTAAGAGGATGAAGTTTTGGAATGATCGTCATTCTCACGTTTAATTGCAAAATTCATGCCCGAGGGCTAATTGCAGGAACAGAAGAAACATTTGGTATAAAACAGACAATTAGTACACACAGAGAACTGCTAATAACTCCTAAGAAACTACTGGTAAAAAAAAATACTGGGCTTGACTTCTTTTTTGAAGACAGAGGAAGATAAAGGATCCCACTTAATTAATATCAAGCATGCTATATGTAGCATTAATGCCAGCCTACCTGATCCCATTAAGAGAAAACCTGTTTCTGTGCAGTCAGTACTTTAGAAAAACCAAATGCCAAACCTTGTGATTGATATCTTTTTGCGCCCGCACCTCTGCCTGTACCGCTTTATTCTGATTTACGGTCTAGATCTTGTTGAAAGGCGCTTTCCAAACGATAATCTTTTAAAACTGCCACAATCAAGACACTTGTTGGTTTGTCAAGGTTATTTGCTTTGTTTAGGACACGTGAATAATCTTTTATTATGGCTTCACCACACATAGTGTGGTGAAGACATATGTGTTTTCTGTTGTTTCTCCTCCCCCTCCTCCTCTTCCTTCTTCTCCTATCATTTGATAAAATGAATTCAACTTGGTCATTTTTTACCTACATTACCTGAAATTTGGCATGGACGTAGAGTAGACAAATATCAGGCTTTTTTTTCATTTTTTATACAGGCTATTGTTTTATTAAGGTTTTTTGGTTTTTGGATTTCTCGACAAAATCGGTATATTTTAGGTCCTGGCATGGTGACCTGGTATTACACACAAACGATCTGAAATTTGATATGAGTGCGCTTTATATAGCTATCGACAACAATTCTTTATAACTATCCGCATGTACCCCTTTAAAACTGTATAATTTGGGAATTTCGGACCGTCTTCAGGCCAATAAACTGTATGTGTGGGAGCATGACGTAATAAGATTGGAATGCGCAGTGTGACCATATTTGGGCATGGGGACAGCCCCAAATATGGGCATGCAGTCAACAACAGGTGTGGCCATGTTTGCAGATGTTTTTGATTGACTTTTCGCTTAAATACTTTATCTGTTACCACCTGCGCATGGTAGGCACATTCCTATATAGGAACAATTACTTTGTTTGTTTACAAGTTTTGCCACGAAAAAGGAGTGTATTTTATTTATGTCATACCCACCAAAGAGAACACGCCTTTCAATGCGAAATGAGCGAAAAGTTGGTGTCGCTAAGCCCAAAAAATACAACAACATCAATTCCAACGTCCGAATTTTGTATTCGAATTTTCGACAGCGGTGCACGTTGTTAGGGTGAAACGCGTTCGAATCGTTCTATGGAACATTTGGAAGCCCTGTGCAACAAGTAAATGATATGGCTTTATTTTTCACAGCCTGATAATTTGTAGTTGTCATTGTTGTTGTTCGATGACTCACATGCAATTTATTGTTACCGTTCCATTTTTAACATTTTGATGGTTACGCCCATATCCCCTAGGGGATTTTGAAACTTCAAATTTCCTGCCTAGTCACTTTAATATACGAAGCAGGGCGTTTCAGTGATTGTGGCAATTTTAATTGTGCCTTCCTTTATTAAAAAACTGTCTTTGTATTGATTATATTCTTTGAGCTTCAGACATGCCGCCCGTACGTAGGAGAGCCCGCTCTACGGCGACCCGGGGTACAAGTGGGTTGTCGGGAAGCGCCGTGACAACCACGTCTGAAGGCAGCGTGACAACCACGGCCACAAGCAGCGTGACAACAGCACCTAACAGTGTATTATCGCCCACTAAACCGAAAATGACCATGAAGACGCTTCAGAAACAACTGACTGATTTACAAGAAACCACGAACAAGTTGGTCAACGACTTGGCTGCACGCTCTGCTGTCACTAATAACATTCCAGCAAGTGACGTACAAGTGATCAATAACGCAGGTGGGCTTCCAACAGTTGGACTGAGCAACAATGCTGCTGAACTGAGAGCATCTTCGGCAGTTTCTACGGCAACCGGATTGGTGTCGAACCAGCATACAGCCAACGTTACCTCCACTGTGATGGGACAAGCGAGCACCATAGGCGGGCTGCCTTCCGCTACCTTGGCCACCACTTCAGGAGCAGCAGGGCCTCCTACACAGGGTCTGCAGGGAATCCAGCCGGTACTGACGACCACTACTCCACCCACAAACGTGCTGCCGATCTACACTGCGGCAGCTGCGTCAGGCCTACGGCCTCCCTACCTGTCTACTCCTGGCACGACCCATCAGACTGTAGGACTCGGTACCACATTAGTGTCTAGTATCCTAGGTACACCATCTGTCAATCATACCACTACCAGTAACATTGTTCAACAGGCTACGACAGTGTCAGCGTCCAGTGGAGTCCTGCCTTTTCCTAACCTTGGCAACTCTCCCATGCAGGTTGGTATACACCTACCTTTGGACACAGGTGTGTCTTTGGCAACTAAAGAAAAATCTGGAAGGAGCAGTTTGTTGACCTAAAGACCCTGCTACCAAATTCCCGTCAGAAGTCAATTTATGCAGTCAACCTAGAAACTACTTCTGGACCCCCCACGCTGACGCTGGCTAGCCAAGAGGCTGACAACAAGCAACCTCTATCATTGTCTCAATGGATGACTGCCTTTGCTGTTTATCATTATATCTATGCTCAACGCCACTTAGCGCGCAGCCCGCAGCTGATAGCGTATTCGCACCTAATCCGTTCCATGGCAGAACGAGGCGCACGGTGGCATGATTATGATGTCAACTTCCGCCAACTACGGCATACCTCCCCACATCTGCCTTGGGATAATCCCCACATGCAGTTGTATGTTGATGCGTTCAACAACCCAGCTCCGAGTATCTTAGCCCCTAAACAATCCAGGCCCACCCCTGCGCGCGACAATAAGATTCCCAAGGGTTTCTGCTTTCGGTACCACAGCCCGACAGAGCACTGTTTTGTGGCGAGCTGCCCATTCAAACATGCCTGTCCTTCCTGCCAGGGTGCCCACAAAGCCTTTCTCTGCCCCAACCGCGACAGGGCCCGCCCTACCCACCCCCGTAAACACTAACAACCTTTCCCTGTATCTAGATGGATACCCAGAAAACAAAAAACAGTACATCATCAATGGTTTCAAATTTGGTTTCCCTTTAGAATATTTCGGACCCCGGACTAGGCCGATTGAAGATGTAATTTGCCCGAACCCTTCACAATCCAGAATTATTGAGGAGAAATTACAGCTTGAACTTGATTTAGGTAGAATCGCAGGTCCTTACAAAAAGCCACCTTTACCAAACTTCTTCATTTCACCGCTATATGCGGTCCCAAAAAAGGCTCCCGGGAAATATCGATTAATCCATGACTTGTCATACCCTAAAGGGAGTTCAGTAAACGAAGGCATTCCTCAAGAACTAGCTTCTGTGTCGTATGCCAACACTGATACTGCAATTCGGCATATTAAAATCTTAGGTCCGGGTTGTTTCCTAGCGAAGACGGACATCCAATCCGTCTTTCGTATTGTTCCGATTCATCCTGATGACCACCACTTATTGGGTTTTTACTTCAATAACGGCTACTATTACGATCGTTGCTTACCCATGGGGAGCTCCACCTCATGTTCAATTTTTGAAGCGGTGAGTACTGCTCTAGAGTGGATTGCTTTGAAGAAACTAAATATTCGTTACCCCACGCACATCCTCGATGATTTTCTTTTCGCCAATAACAACTACTCTTCTTGTGAAATAGATTTGGTTGCCTTTAGCAATATGTGTCAAAATGTGGGAGTTCCCCTTGCGGATGAGAAAACATACTACCCAGACACAAGAATGACATTTCTTGGCATTGAATTAGATACGTTATCCATGGAGGCGAGATTGCCCGAGGACAAATTGATAAAATGCAAGGACTACCTTCAGGAATTCCTCTCTTCCTCTACCGTTTCACTTAAGAAGATACAATCCCTTGTGGGGTTACTAAACCACGTATGTCAGGTTGTCCCGCCAGGACGGGCTTTTCTTAGACGACTAATTGACCTTACTAAAGGCGAAGCCTCCCAAACGAAACTCATCCCAATAACATTAGGGGTGCGCCATGACTTGCGAATGTGGTTACGTTTTCTAGAGGATTTCAATGGAAAATCTTTCTTCTTAGATGACCAGCTTATCCATGATTCAATGTTAAACCTTTACACCGATGCTGCAGGATCTCTGGGGTACGGAGCTGTATTCGGTACAGCTTGGTTCTATGGAACATGGCCCAAGTCTTTGAGGTCAACAAACATCACTGTTTTGGAATTCTATCCCATAGTGTTAGCTCTCCATATATGGGGAAAATTCTGGACCAACCAGAGTATCCTGCTGCATACTGACAACCAAGCATTGGTACACATTATCAATAGACAAACTTCGAAAAATCCCCTGATCATGCCTTTAGTGCGAAGATTCGTGCTTGTCAGTCTTAGAAAGAACATTCTATGTAAAGCAGTACATATCCCGGGCACCAAGAATGATATGGCTGACTCTCTGTCTCGGTTACAGATCAAGATGTTTCGCCAACGGTACCCACACATGGATGTGCATCCAACTTATGTACCGCCACATCTCCAGCCGAACGTCTTAATAGAACAGTTGACAATCTGATTCTCCAATCACTGGCCCCATCCACTGTAAACTCGTACCGCCTAGCATGGCATCATTTCAGGGATTTCACTATCGCTGTTTACGGCAAGGATCTCAGTCAGCCCCCTATATCTGAAGTATTGTTAGGCCAGTTCCTCGCTCACCTGTATCAGGAACGGTTTGCACCTGCGTCCATAGCTACTATGCTTTCGGCCATTGCTTTTGTGCACAAAATCCAAAACTACCCAGACCCAGCTGCCAATTTCGCCATTCGCAAGCTGATGCAGTCTATCCAAAGACACCACATTC